ACAGTTCATGAGGGGAAACATGCGGGATGCTTGATCCTCTCCTTTTATTTTATGGACAGTAGACTGTTGCCTAAATGGTCTGAAAGTAGCCAGCCTGTGGTGTCCACATGTTGGGCACCATTTGTTGACAGAGGTTTCTGTTCCACCAGGTCCCACAGTCGATCAGTCCCAAAGAAATACACAGAGGTCTACATTAATCATAAACTGGTTGGCCTATTAACTTGGGCTTTCTTATTAATTAATTCTTACATCTCAACCCATAATTCTTGTCAGTGTTAGCCACGTGGCTTGGTACCTTTCATCAGCGGGGCATTCTCATCTGCGTCCTCTATGTCTGGGTGAAGACTGCAGTCTGAGCTTTCCTCTTCCCAGAATTCTCCTCTTCTCAACATTCCACCTCTACTTCCTGCCTGGCTACTGGTCAATTAGCATTTTATTGAAATACAAGTGACAGGATAAAAGACCGTTCTCCCACGCAACTGTGTACATGCATTTAGTTCTGCGCCGATACTCTGTCAGTCCTAGCCACCACTACAGCCTGCTGAGACTCCATTCTCTCCCGGCTGGGCTCTGTTTTGCTTCTGTTTTCCCTGTGTTATTTCTTATCTCACAGGAACCACACTAGCATCACCTCTTTCCCGATGTCTGAAAACAGTTTTTTCATACATTTGCTTGGTCCCGTACTTACCAGAAGCAACAATTCTTCCTGTGCAAGCTGAAGCTCCCTGAATCTTGGTTGAAATTGTGGGGTTTTTTTAATAATCAAATTTACTAAGATGTAATTTACAAACAAATATATATATACACATATACATACACACACACACATATATATATATATATATATATATATATACATGAGACAGGGTTTCTCTGTAGCTTTGGAGCCTGTCCTGGAACTAACTCTTATAGACAAGGCTGGCCTCAAACTCACAGAGATCTGCCTGCCTCTGTGAGATCTTCCTAGTGCTGGGATTAAATGCATGTGCCACCACTGCCCAGCTCATTCATATACAGTAATATGCCAGAGTTTAGGCATATAGGTTGTTGGCTTTGACAAATGTATGCAGCACATAATCACCGCCTCTTTTTGCCCAGAATCTCCCTCTTCCCTTTAGGCAGTCAGTCTTCGTCTGCACCTCTCTATCCAGGAAGCCACTGAACTAATCTCTGTTGTTGCAAATTAACTGTGCCTGTGACAGTATTTTGAATATTTCACCTCTCCATCCAGAAAGCCGCTAAGCTGATCTCTGTTGCTATGGATTATTTGTGCCTGCTATAATATTTTGAATGATTGGAGCCAGTTTCCCTTTTGTATCTAGCTCCTTTCATCTGCATGGTGTCTGAGGGATCCATTCATGGGGTTCATGTATTGTGTTTTCTTTATTACTAAGCAGTATCTCGTTGTGTGAATGAATCACAGTTTGTTTCTGAATTCGCTGACTCACTGGCCATTCAGCTTGTTCCCAGATGGGGCCTGCCATGGAAAAAGCTGCCATGAGCAGGCTTATACAGGTCTTTTGGTGCACTTAGCCTTTCTCTTGGTTAAATCTCTAGAAACGGAGTTCCTAAATCTTGTCTATGTGTTAATTTGACAAGAAACTGCCATGCTCGTTCCCCAAATAGTTATATAATTTATATTTAAATAGTCAATCCATGACAGCTTCAGTTGGCCATATCCCCTCCAGCACCTTTGTCTGCGAAGCCATTCTTGCTGTCTGTGTTACACTGGCAGTTAAGATGGGGCATCTCTCTGTGGGTTTGATCTGGGGTTCCCAAAAGCTCACTACACTGAGCATACATACCCATTTTTCTCATCTCCCCTTGCGTACTCCTTTAGATTGTTTGTTCTGTCCTTTGTCCATTTTGGAATGGGGCTGTTGACGTGGTCATGCGCTGTTTGGCTGTTGCACACACAGGCTCCTTGTAAGGTAAGGAGGCTGCTGGAGCATCCTCCAGAGCTGGCACACCATCCCTCTTCTCTGGCAGTGCGCTTTGAAGAAAAGGAGATTTGCTACCATTTGAGACAGTTTATTAACTTTTACTTTTATCTGTTTTTGTCTACTTTCAATTCTTTGCCTAAACCTATGTTTACAAAAACATTTTATTTTCTTCCTTGTAGAAATTTTGTAATTTTAGCCCTTAAATGAAGACATAAAGTCCCTCTTCTTCACTGTCTTCATTTGGGGAAGCACAAGCATTGAGGTGAATTCCTCAACATGGGTACCAACTCCTCCAGCACACCCTGCGGGGAACACAGCCTTCCCCTCATTGTTGATGTTTTTGTCAAAAGCAAACGAACTAGATGTGCAAGTCTTTTCTGAAATCTCTTTTCTGTCTTGTGGTCTTGCATGTTTATTTTTATTCTGGCACGGTACAGTCTTGCTGTGGCCTTAGAGTAGGTCTGGAAGTCACACAATTTTAGCTGTCTTCTTGGTGCTCCCACTTAAAAGGTATTTGACCATCATCAACCCTTTGCATGAACATTTTGAATTTACAGTTAGCTTTTCAATATTTACCAGGAAATAATAAAAGTCTGCCAAGATTTTGATGGTGATTGACTCTGTAGATTATCACGAGAAGAACAGGCAGCCTAAAATTCTCCTCACAATAAGGTTTTCCATGCTCTCTAATCCCTGAGTCTTTCTCTGTGGGTGGTAGCCAAGGCATGATCCTGGAATCATAATTTCACATTTGCCGCTGTTATGCCCAAATCTGCGACGTCCCCCAAAAGCCAACACGGAGACTGAGTCCCATATGTAAAAGCAAATAGCGTTTATTTTATGCAAGTTTGCAAACTCGGTCTCTCCACACATCCAACGCATTGGAATAAATGGAGAGCTCCGAGCTCAGTTAGAGTTGGGTCTTTATAGTAGTAAAGGTGGGGGTGAGAGGTTTCTGAGGTTCAGGACCCCTGATGGGCTGACACTTGTCTAGGGGTGTCCTGGTGCATGTATGCTGGCAGGTGATCCTATCTACAATGGTTGGAACATTAGGCATTTCCTTTGGGTGGTCTGTTCTTGGGTGGTGCTCAGGTAATCTCAGTTTATGATTCTTCCTACAACCAGGTATGGCTTCCGAATAAACTACTGAGACTCAGGCCTCCATTAAACTTATCGATGGCTGAGTCCTACTCTGGCAGGTGATGATGGTTGGTTGGAAGTTAAGAACTTCCTTTGGGTGATCTGTTCATAATTAGCTTTTCATGGCTGACTCCTACAGCCACCACCATCTTCCTTGACTCTTTTTTTATTTCTTCTCCCTGATGAGACTGGACAAAGTTTCCATGCTTCTGGCCACTCTGTGTATAAGAAGTTTCCGCTCACTTTAAAGCTTCAGTCTTACACGCAGGTGAGACCTTTCCTCCCTGTGCTTCGAGGATGTGGAGGAAGAGGAAGAAGGGTGATGTCTTGTCATTCTCCTCCTCCCATTGTTGGAGTAGAGTGGGGAACACTGTGTACGCATGTGCATGTATATGTGTGTGTACATGTTCGTGTGCGTGTACACCGAGGCCAGAGAAAGGCATTAAGTGCCTTCCTCAGCAACTTTTTGCCTTGTTTTTTTTTGAGACAGAATCTCTCACAGAACCTATAATTCATTAATTCAGCGAGCCTAGATGGTCAGTGAGCTCCAGAGATTTCTCTGGCCCCTCCTCTTCCAGTGGTTTGGTTACAGGAATGCATCACCATGCCCGGCCTTTTTACATGGGTATTGCCGGTCCAGAGTGATGACCTGAGGCTTGTGTGGCAAACACTGAGCCATCTCCCAGCCCCAAGGCACTCTTTGTTATGCCTCCATTCCTTCCCTTCCTTGTCTTTCTAACCCAGCCAGCAGGGCTTGTTTCTTGCTGCTGCTGTTGCTTGGGGCTTTACTATTTCTCCGCCACTGGTGTGTGTGCCCGGGTTGCCTCTGTTTTAAGAAGCGCGGCTTTCTGGAGGAAGCTCACCTTCACCCAGATCCCTCAGGCCCGGCTCCTGCTTCCAGCTCCTCTCTGTTGAAGCCTTTCTCCTCCCACAGACAGCAGCGCATGGGTCCAGCATGGTTTCCGCTCCCGCATTTGGCGTCTGTGCCTCCAAGGCGCTCTCGTGGGGACCAGAGGGTCACGAAGCACACCACACTAAGGGCCCTTCATAGGGTTAGTTCCGCAAACTTCTCTCCAGCCGCAGTTTCTCAAGGTGACACACAAGTCGTGTGAGATGCTACAATGTCTTCAGCTCTGGGTGGGGGCCCGGGGGGCACAAAAGTAAGCATGATGGTTGCTCTGTTACGTGTACTTTATCAGCTTTCCTGATGGGGAAGTAGAGTGCCTGTCTACCCTTACGGGGCACCCCACTTTCTGTCCTAATTGTCTCGGAACCTGCACCCCATTTGTTTAAATCCTGGAGATGAAGAAGGTACGCCATGGGAAAGCTCTGAGAAGGCATTATTCCTCACCCAGAGCCTGAGAACCGGTCCTCCCTCTCTCGTCTCCTCAGTAATCTCTTTATAATAGTTTGTTTGCAGGGTGCTGGCTGTGGTCATAGGGGCTGCTTAGCCACCTTTCAGAAACCCTGAGGGGATTACTGGGCCCCAGTGTTGCTGGTTGTCTTTAGACTGTGGAATATTACTGCCTCATATTTCCAGAAGGATCCCCAAGAAAACAACAGTAGCCTTGCCCAGTAGCTTTTTCTATAACCAATAGTTTAAAAAAAAAAAATCGCTTCGTCTAATGCTATGTCCAATACTTTGCAAATCTAAATAAACTTCGAAATGCACTTAAGAAGTCTAGCAGCCTGGAAACACCCGCCATGGGCTGCAGTAATGTAGGATAAGCAAATCAAATGCCCTTCAGTGCAAAGTGGGCACAGGCGTGAGTGGGAAGACAGGGTGCTTTTTCTTTTGGTTTCCAAGAAACAGGAAAGAGGGTGGGAGATGGGAAGAATGCCAGGGTGGAGGGGGGGGGTGGAAGAGAGGAGGAGAGAGGTGAAAAAGAAGAGAACGGTGACAAACAGTGAGGGACTCTCTGCTTTCTTTCATTCTTGGCTCCCATGGTCACGGCAAGGAGCGCTGCAGGCCTCTCTGGGCAGGGCTGGAAGTTGGCAAGCTTCCTTCACTCTCAAAGCACGTTAGAGATGTGGCCTCTTCTAGAGGGACTGACTGGTACCCACGGCTTGAGGAGGTGGCATTCCTAACCCGGGGAGACAGGAAAAAGCAGAGAGCCCTCAAGTGTAGTTGACACTGTGCCAGTGGCCCTCTCCGAAGCTGCCTCCTGCTCTTGCACCCGCCCTTCTTAATGAAGAAAACAAACGCAGTAAAACAGACCTAGCCCTACTGCAGCCCAAGAAACGAAGATTTTCACGGTGAGAACTGGGTTTGCAGGTAAGTGATGCCTACCTGGTTCTCTGGTGACGCTTTAGTCTGTACTTGAGAGTCTAAATCAAGCTGACTTACAATAGTCTCTGAAGTTGAACTGCCCTGTGTCTGACTGTGTCCCCTTCCTTAATGCTAATCTCACTTTAATGAATTATTACCACTACCACCTTGGCAGAAGCAACCGCCTGCTACCCTGCACACATTCTGTGCTGAAGCCCTGAGGTGAGTATTGGGAGAGACCCAAAGGAGAGAAAAAGTGTGTCCCCTTTATGGGAGTGTTCCTGGATTTAAGGAGGTGAAAGTGTGGGTTTTGATATCGCAACTTCATCCGATGAGGCAGTTTGGAGTTCAATAAAATTCGATTTCAAACTAATTGGCGACCAGTCACCAGAGAGCAGCATCTTGGCTCTTTTAGATTGGTTGTGAAAGACACGCGCTTCACTGTCTGCAACCATGAGGAGGATGGACAGAAACATGGCGAGGGGACCACTGTACAAGCAGTTCGACTCGGAGAGGAAGAATGCCAGGCGAGCTGAAGCTAGACTCAGCCTGAGCCTGCAAAGGCTAGAGGTCATCTGCCTCTACCACGTGAAGACGCTGGCCAGGGAGCAGAGACAGCTTCAGAAAGAACTGCAGCGGTTGCAGCAAGGTGAGGCCCTGTCCCAAAGGGCAACCTGCCCCCCACCCCACTTCTGGTCCTAATCTAACCTGACTTCCAGTAGTAAGGAGCAGTCTACCCCAGAGGGGGTGGAGGGGAGCACGTAGCAGCCTCCATCTCACTGAGGGAAGGGAAGGAGAGTGTTTGCCTCACACCAGGGTCCTTCAGGGTCCTGGATGGATGAACAAGTGCCTCCACCTTCCTTGGATTTAAACAGGCCTCACCATCCTGGTCCTTCACCCTGTCCTCAAACTCCATAGCTCCTCCTGCTGCTTGGTCCCCAATCTTTCTGAGCTGACATTCCCCCAGGCTTCCATCATTGTCCTGTTTCCAATTAGCGCTCTCTCTCTCTCTCTCTCTCTCTCTCTCTCTCTCTCTCTCTCTCTCTCTCTCTCTCTCCTTCCCCTTCCCTCCCCCAGGCCTTGTTTGACTCTTCACACAGTGCTCTCTTCCCTCCCTCAGGGATTTTCTCCTTCACCATCACCGCCTTTCTCCTTGGGATCTAGTGGCCATGTATTGACCAGCGAAGGAAGGAAGGAAGGAAGGAAGGTATAAGCCACTTCCCTTGCCCATGTTATAAAATGAAAGTTAAAAAGGAAACCAGAAACCCTTTCTCTGGGATTCTGACCTCTGGTGAGGAATAGGAGTGGCGATGCCCATCCTGTGAAATTATCTGAGCTCTCAGTGCGAATTTGGCACAAACCTAAGCACAAAGCATTCGCCTAGGGTTTGACAACTTTTAATTACTCAGATCAGCAGTGCAGAGTCATCTAGGAGTGAAAGCGCTCCTGCTGTCTTGCTGGAAACAGGTTCAGTTGTGTGCCTTGTAGAACCAGCGCTCCTCGTTTTCTTCGTCAAATAATTAGGTCTCAACATTCCTTCAAAATTACATGGAAGTCGGTAAACTCAGCTTCTCAGGACATTCCCCCCTGACTTAAGCCAGGTGCCAGAACAAACTCAAGAGCCTGAACTGGACGTGGTCCATCCAGAAGGAAAGCCAGATGCTTTTAAAGACACATTTAAACGCAGAACCTTCCAGGGCTGCACAGTTTCAACAACAGACACACAAACCCAAAGCAGTGTCCACACTGGCCTGGGGATTCTTTCTAATCTTCAGCTGTTCCTAATTACATAATGGTCTCTAGCTTCCTTGAACTTGAATGACAACCCTGTTCCGAACCAAACTCTATTTTCAGTTCCCCTGTCCACAGTAAGAGGTTAAGCTTACTTGGAATAAGAACGACGTTGGAAAGGCATCTTAGAAACCGGTCAGTTGGTTATCCCTCTAATTCTCAGAAAAGAGCAACTGAGAGCAGGTGCCCATCCTCCAGGGGGTTGCAGAAAAGCACCCCCACCCCTGTCACTGCAGCTTCCCCTGCTGCATAGAGACCTTGTCTCAGTCTCATTCACAGCGGTGTGGAAAGGGTTAGGACCGAGGGGCAGACAACTTCAGAGGCCTCGGTCTCCAGGTTCTGTATCTCACACTGAACGGTCAAGTCAGAGACAGGAGAAGGAGCGACTGTGTACCCTCTTGGTGCGCTCCAGACGCTGTATTCAGCAAGAGTTCCGGTGATTTATTTAATGGAACTGTTACCACTGAGGTGCAACTATTTGCACGTTAGTGCATTGCTTTGTGTGCGTATTGTCAGCCCTCATCTTAGACAGCAGGATCAGTGCATAGAAGTTAGGCTCAAACTTCATCGTTCTTTCACTGATGCTAAATTTCTGAGTCATGTGCTTTTATTTGATTGATTGGATGGTGGTTTGATTGATTGGATGGTGGTTTGGCTGGCTGATTGGCTGTTTGGGTTTTGTTGTTATTGTCACTGTAGCTTTGTTTGAGTTTTGTTTGTGTTTTGTTTTGTTTGTGTTTTGTTTTGTTTTGAAAAAGAGTCTCACTATGCAGCCCAAGTTGACCTCAATCTCAGGGTCTCCCTGCTCCACTCTCCTGAACTCTGAGATTACAAATCTGTGCCACCCACTTGACTCTGGGGCAGGCTCCTCAGGGCCTGGGATAGAAATTTAGACAGATAAGGTCTCTTCGCTTTAAGATGCTTATTTATACTGTCAGATAGCTGAGCTTTTGTAGGTCTGATTTAAAAAAAAAACTGTGCTTTTATAAATCTCATAAAAAATTTTAATTGCAAAACATGGAGTTATTTGCCAAGTAAGGAGGTGTCAACCAGAAGCCTCCTGCCCCTGTTAAGAAGGCTCTTAGGAGAATTTCCCCAAAGAGCCGGTGTGTGAACAGAGCCTAGGAGAAGAGTGAAGTGATGTAGGGAGCCAGAGGTTGGTTGCAGAGAGATGTACAGCATGAGGTCATTCCTGGAAGAAAAAGAACGGTGTATGCAAAGGGATGGGAGTGAACATGGTTTGCCAGAAAGTTCCATGCTGGCGAAGTACACGCACAGGTGCAGAACTCCCACTAAGCAGGCGTCGTCTCCAGCCAGAGCTTCACAAAGGTAGATCCCACCCTGCAGGGTCTGGATGCAGGGAGACTCCATGTTCACATTTTAGAGAGTTCGCTCTGACTGCAGGTACCTATGAGAAATTGGAGCTTAGGACATAGCCGGAGTAGAGCAGATAGAATTCCAAATGGAGGCTCGATGTAAAACTTAAACTAGAGCATTGTCAGGAGGAGAAAATTAAGAGACCAGCTTTTCAAGATGTTTGGAAAGAAGAATCGTCAGGTTCCCACGACTAATTATATGTCCAACATAAAGGAAACAAGAGCGTATTGCCAGCTCAAGGTAGGCCGTCAAACATACAGGCTGAACTGGGTAACTAGGTGGACACAGCACCACACCATTGTGGGGAGGAAAACAGGGCACGGTGATGCCACAGAGAAAAGATGATCACCCTGCTGTCTCAACTGCAGAAGAGGGGGCTGCCTGGAGAAGTAGCTGAAATCCTTTAGTTTATTGTAAATAGAAATCCCCTCAAAATAAAGCAAAGGACTCAAAGAAGTAATCTATGTGCTTCATGAGATAGTCATGCCTCTTGCATGGTCCGGTACCCTCATTCCCACTGCCTCATACATTCTAACTTCAGTAGGATGCTTCTCGGAGGGAAGTGGCCTGGGTCTGTTTGCTGGTGGTTATGTTTGTGTTTGTTTGTTATCCTTGGTTGGGATTTCTGGTTTGGATTTAGTGGGGAGGGGAGCAGATGGCCTACTGCGAGGGATTGAACCCAGGGCCTTGTACAGGTGTAGCAAGCCATCTACCACTAAACAACACCCCTGGCCTTACCCACTGTGACTTTAAATGATTCCCATCAAAACACAAACCAATGCACGATTTAAATGCCTTAAAAAAATAGGGTCAGTGTGTTCTCTTCAAGCTATGACTATGAGAGCCCGGAACATCAACTGGGAAAATGGAAAGTCCACTTAATCCTGGCCTCTGGCAGTTGCAAACCCTTGCCACAATTAGAAGTAAGGCATACAACGGTAGTAAACAGACAAAATGTCCACACCCAGGTGTTTTCTGTTTTTAAACACTTGCCCTTGCCAAGTAAAACATTCAAACAAAACCCACCAGGGCTGGGGCGGTTGCAACATCTGATCTTGGTGTCTAAATCCTCTCTGACACGTTCTAGGCAAACAGCAGGAACTGCGGGAAGCTTTTCTGTTTTTGTCCATTGTGACAGAGGAGGGCAGCGTGCGATGGGGACCCAGGATGCTCACAGGCTAGCTCTCTGAAAGCCCAGAGCCCAGCTTTCACTTCCCTTACCTACCTATTAGACTCAGTTTCTAGGGCTGCACAGCAAAGTCCCAAATCCCGCACAGCTCAAACCAGAGAACTTCGTTGTCTCAACCTCTGAAGCCTTGAAGTCAAAGTGGGAGTGTGAGCAGGGTTTCCTCGGGAATGAAGCAGGAGCAGGCTCTCTCTTTGGTGCGTCGGGGACAGGTCTACCCCCAACCCTGCCCTCTCTGCCTGTCTGCTCGGACTGCTGCTATCATAAGCACGCCATGACAATGATCAGGGCCCACCATAATGACCTCATTTTAATTTGATCATATCTATAAAGAACCCACCTCCAAAGAGTGTCAGTCTCAAGAACTAAGGACTAGGACCCTAATGAATAAAATTTTATACAATTCAATCCACATTAACCCATTTTAAACTATTTTATTTGTGTAGACATGTGTCTGTGTATATGTCTGAATGCATGTATGAGACATGTGTATGCAAGTGCTAGCCGAGACCAGAAGAGGGTGTTAGATCCCGTGGAGTTAAAGATGTTTGTGGGTCGTGGATGTGGGGGCCTGGGCTCCAAACTCTTGGTCCTCATGGTTGAGCACGGAGCACTCCTAACAGATGAGCCATCCCTCCAGCCCATCATTTGTTAATTATGCCACAGCAGATATCGTCAAGAAAAGGTTCTCCTCTTATGCCAAGAATGGAATTCAGAAGAGACCAAGAGATTCTCTCATGTTCTCACCACAAACAGGACAGAGGCGCGTAGCCACGCAGTCTAAAATCAGGTAAGAAAATGAGTAAATGACTCCCACGTGCCAACCAAGCTCTTTAAAACATTCCCCTCCATGTAAGGAGATGCTGCCATCTCCTTCCGAGAGAGAGATATACCTCTGCCCCTCACCCTCCGCCCCTTCGCACCCACATTAGCACCTCAACAAAACTGCCACACATACACACGTACACACATATACACGCACACATGCGTGCACACACATGCACACACACGTACACACATATACACACGTACACACACATACACACGTACACACATACATGCACACACACATACACACATATACACACGTACACACACTCACACACACACAGTCTAGTAAATGGAAAGGCCTAAATAGGAGACCCTTCATTTTCCAATGACATTTAATTCTTTCTTTTCATCCCTTCTCCCGCCTCCCCAGGGTACCGCCAACCAATATGACCCAAGAAGCTAAAACTAAGCTTCATGGGCCCTCTTTACCTGGCACTGCCCTCAAAGCTGCCCCGAGAAGCCAGGATCACCTGCAATCCCAGCGTGACAGCACCAGCGGCTACAAGGAAGAGTACTCAGGAGCCCAGGAGGGAGAGTCTGCGAAACCACCTAAGGGCACGGACTCAAACAGGAATGTCCCTGTCCCGTGTCATGGTCAAGAGGTTTCCATCAACAATACAGAAGACAGCCCTGTGTCCAGCCCAGATGGTGCGAAGGGGTTGGCACCGGCAGATGAGACTAGATCAAAAAATGCCGATCCAAAGCCACGTGAGGATGCTGGGGACCAAAATGCCCCATGTTCTGCGGAATGTGCTGAAAGCTTCAACGGCAAGTGCACAAAGTCAACCTTCCTCGAGCTGTTGGCAAAGGCCAAAGAGGCCCACTATCTCCGCCACAGGGTGCCCCCCGAGTCCGAGAGGATGCTTAGCATTGGGGAGATATTTGGACACAGAAACGCCTCACTACCCAGAGCAGTGAAAAAACTGTGAGAATGGTACCAAGTTCCTTCCTACCTGGCTGTGAAATGTAGCTTGACAATAAGATACCATAATCGCTAAGGAATGTGACCCTCAAATAGCTGCCATAAGCAAGGCACAGAAAGAAATAAGCGGAAATCCAAGACAACTTTCTTCTGCATCCTTAGAGCCTCCTGCCCTTTTATATGATTTTCTCAGAATAAACTTGCTCATAATAAAGGCTACTATGAAAGGGGGGGGGAATATTTGAAAATACTTTAAATTGAGAGCCTGGACTTGCTTTGATGGAAACAAAGTCTTGTTTATGCAAAGGTCCGTCTCATAGAGGCGCTGCTTATAGCGCCGCCTGTTGGCCAATCGGCGCAGCTAGTCACCTTGTCTTCCTTTCTTTTAGGGTTTGCATGGGAACCGCACTGAAATTATGTAGCGCTGTGGTCTCCAAATAAAACCTGTTCTTGCCACAGTTCCGTACTCTTTTTTTGAAGGTCCTCTCTCTCTTCTTCCTTTTTTTCTCTTTCCTTCCTTCTTCCCAATCTTCTCTCCCTTCCTCTCCTTCATTTCCTTACTTCATTTCTTCCTTTTCAAGTAGTTCCAGCTGGATTTCTCCCCGGCCCCCGTTTTAACCCTAATACCAAACATTTTTGGATCCTAATGAAAGAAACTAATCTGTGTCCTTTCCTCTCCTCCCAAATCAAAATATCTTAAAACGTCCAGCACACTATGAAAGCTATACCACATTCAGTCAATAACCAACCATCTCACAGTGAAAGAATAATTTTCATTTAAAAATTGCTGCTTTAAGGCAGGGTGGTGTCACATGTTTATAACCCCGGTATTCCAGTATTTGGGAAGCGGAGGCAGGAGGATTTACAGAGCCAAAGTGAGCTACATATCGAGACTCTGTCTAGAAAAGCCCTCTCAGTAAAACAAAGACCGCTGTTTTAGGTAAGCAGGTCTGCATAGCGTGCGTCCCACTGTAAACTGATTGAGAAACTTTGTTTCCCACCCAGATGGTCCAGATTTCACACTTCAAACAAATGATGTCATATGTCATCAGGAACAACAGCCTCACTGTTAATACTTTAATCCTCTGCTCACCGAATACACACCAAATAAAACTGCCCCCTTTATCATATACTGTTTATATTAACTTCATTAGAAAAACTAGCTTGTAGTTAGAAATCCAAAGTCAGATAGCAACTGTTTAATTCAATTTTTCAACCTTATAGCAAATTTGGAAACCAAAAGAATAAATTCAGGACCTATATAATTATTTTGGACTTATTTATTTACTTTGAATTAATTTTTTTTTTGAGACGGGGCTAAACAATGCTGCCTTGGGTTGGCTCTGAACTCCCACGTTCAGTGATCCTCCTGCCTCAAACTCCTAGTGAGCTGGATTGCAAACTCTTATCCCCAGAATCTGTTTACAATTAGGAGAATATATTTGTTGCATTCTAGCTCAAGGCTATCTTGAAGAAACAAAACTATTTATATCAAAAATGATAAAGGACCCAATCTTCTAATGCTAAAGCTCCTAGGGTTTAAATTAATTTGAATTTAATGACAAAGTACGAATTAATTGCAGTTGGTTTAATAACACAATTTAATTCCCATTTGAGATGCCTGGTGTTTAAATTTATAACTCATAATAGCTCCCAGTTTCCAGCATCTCCTGCCTTCCCGGACTTTCCACACAGCATATCAATTCCAATTGCTCCTCAGAATTCTGGAAAGAGTTGTCTTTTAGTTCCTGCTTTACAGACGATCAGAGCAAATCAGAACACATTCTTGGTCTGCACACTGTCACACCTCTGTCACACCCCATCTACCTTGCTGCCACTTAGTTGAAGACAAAAGCTTCCCTCAATCTTGCACAATTCAGTTGTTTTAGCCCAGCCTTTGGTCTTCAATGGCAAGGCAATAGTTTATGGTTGAAGAAACACAAGAAACCTTCTTTCAGGGTGTTCTCTAATGCGGAAGGCAGGTCAGGGACAAAACTGGGTGATTCACAAATTATTTACACTGGTCATAAAGGTGGGGGCTCCCAGTACAGAGAACCCCCTTTACAGAGTGCCCAAGTATTGGAGAGAGATGATCTCTTCCCGCTCCCTGATAAGAAAAGCTTTCCCAGAATGCCTTCTAGATAGAGAGATCTAATAGATGTGGAGAGCATCTATTACCGTATTATCTGAATGCCTTCTGTGTGGAGACATCTATTACCGTATTACCCAAATGCCTTCTGTGTGGAGGCATCTGTCACCACATTGCCCAGGCAGAGGCATCCGGACACTCACAGAGGTGATGACTGGACCTCTCTCCTCAACCCACTCTAAGCTGTAACACAGGTGCTCTATCAGTTCTGCAAGGAAGCCTTAAAGCTGACCAAGAATAATAAAAAGCAGCACCTAAGAGACCATGGCTCAGTGGGTAAGGAGTTTGCTGTGCGAGCTTGAACACCTGAGTGAAGATCCCCGCTATCTACACAAAAGCCGGGTGTGACCAAGCACACCTGTGATCCCAGCATGGGGTGGGGGTGGGGCAGAGACAGCTAGATCCCAGGGTCTCACTGATCATCTGGTCTGCCAGAAATGGCAAGGCTTGGTGGGGGACCCTGTCTCGAAAAGTAAAGTGGAGAAGCAATCGAGGAAGGCGCTGGACATCTGCTTCTGGCTTCCACCCCCTCCAGCCTGAGTAAACATGTCCGCACACAGGTGACACCTAGTGACTGAACAGATGCAAAAATAAAGTCTTTAAAGCAAAAATGCAAGGACATATCAGGCCAATAGTTGTAGATGGAAGTTTCTGTCCCACCCAGTACCACAAATGTTCAGTCCCAAAGAAACACACAGAGGCTTTTATTAATTATAAACTGTTTGGCCTATTAGCTTGGGTTTATTATTAACTATCTCTTACAGCTTAAACTAACCCATAATTCTTATCTATGATTAGCCATGTGGCTGGGTACCTTTTCTCAGTGCAGCATTTTCATCTCGCTTCCTCTGTGTCTGGGTGGTGACTTCAGACCAAGACCTTACTCTTCCCAGAATTCGCCTAGTCTGGTTGCCCTACCTATACTTCCTGCCTGGCTACTGGCCAGTTGGCGTTTTATTAAACCAATACGAGTGACAAATCTTTACAGGGTACAAGAGCATTATATCCCACAGCATTTCCCCTTTTTTTCTTTTAAACACAAGACCCTGAATCTAATTCTCGTCGCTTAGCTTTTTCCTCACCATTATCCATAACGACTTGTAACCAACAATAGCAAGTGAAACTGATGACAGCTTCCCCGGGAGAAAAGCAAACATTCTGTTTCCACCTCGCCAAGCTGAGACTGTTCAGTTTTGAGGTGGAGAGGCAGGCGCTGAGTCCCATTTACTATCAAGACTACAAGAGTTATCAATAGTTCAAGGTTGAGGCCAATCTGCCTATGTGAGACCCTGCCCCAAGAAATTTCCTTACCCAAAATTTAAAAAAAAAAAAAAACAACATTAATTTATCACACAGTTCTGCTCTCACTTGTGGGTTAGAGTAGGGATCACTTGAGAACTGAACATAATATGAAACACACCCTATGCTCCCCACATTTCCACCCCCACTATGATCAGGATGCTGTCAAGCGTTCTGATAACAGCCATCAGTCAATCAGAGTATAAATTAACTTCAATGGCTTGAGTTCAATTCTGTAAAATTTGTTCCATGGAATTGAACTGCAGGGAAATCTAATAAGACTCTAAGTAGCACATATCCACTTGACCCATCATGACATGATCACTGTCATTGCCGCGGTCATGGAAGGGAGAAATTCTCTATTCACAATTTAATCTGAGATGAAGAGAAATGTGCAGAAGCTATGCATAGGGAGTAGCTCACCGTACAATCGGCAATGGGAAACTGGATGTATGCTTGTGCTGGGGCCTCTTTGCCTATGTTGACGTAGGAGGAGGCAAATGATGCTAACTAGGTTGGCCAAACTGACACACCTCACGGCTGGTGGAGGGCAGGGGGAGACAGGCAGCCAGCAAGTGCATTTCTGCTAATCTTCAGCTATTTCCTTCTTAGCTTCCCCTTGGACTCCAGAAAACAGGAAGCTATGATGAGAATGCCCATTGTGTCTGGCAATGGTCCTGTTATTTTTAAATTTAGTTGTACAGGGACCGGTGATGGATCAGCGGTTAAGAACCCACGTATGAAGGAGAGATGACAAGGTCTCTGTCTCCTTTCCCTGATGAAAAGAAAGCTTTCACCCTTACTCTGATTACCCAGAAAGGTCACAGTATGTGTTCAGAATCTCTTAGTGGCAAGCCTCAGAAGCGGGATGCAACCCGTAGCCCTGGCCTCTGCACAACCCTGCCACATTCATCTTCCCAGCAGGCTCAGAAGGCCTGTACCCAACCAGCCCAGTGGCCTCCTGAAGTTGTGGAGGCGGAGAAGGGAGCCAGACAATGTCAGACCATGAAAGCTGTGGGTGTTGAGCAGGTTCATCGGAGAAAGGGAGGAGGTTTGGAGTTAGAGACAGGAAGGGATTTAGAGAATATATGTAGGGGCTAGAGAGCCGGCCCAGCAGTTAAGAGACTGGCTACCAGAGCACCAGGTCTCTATTCCTAGCAGCCACGGGGCAGCTAACAATTGACTGTAATTCCAGTTCCAGGGGATCCAACTCCCCCTTCTGGCCTGTGGGGCACTGTACACACATGGGCCACAGACGTACATGCAGGCAAAGCACCCACACACATAAAACAAAAATTAAAAAGTCAACAAATAAATGAAGTTTTACATATATATGGTATTTTTCTTATGCTCCATTTCCTTAGGGAATATGACCATGTTGTGCATACATATGTGTGCATACACACACACACACACACACACACACACACACACACCACTTTCTTTGGGAATATAAGCAAAGGGAAGCACCCCACAGTTACATAATGGCTCACTAGAGGCTTTCACACCAGCAAAGTGGTGGCTTGCCACAGGCCAGCGGGAGGTGATCGTTTCAGAACCTGTGTGTGAATGGTGGTCCTAACACAGTTTGGATTTGGCTGCTTTTGCTATACAGCCCAAGCTAGTCTCAAACTTGAGGTCCTACTGTGCAGCCTCCTGGGTGCTGGGGTTATTCTCTAGTCAGCATTACATTTGTCAGCCAGACTTTAAGTTCCAGAAAATTTTGGTACAAATTTGCCAGTGTTTTCATCCAGGCCCATCTGAAATAATAAATTCAGTGTAAGTCGGGTCCTAAATGGGAAGGAAAATGAGGCAAATAAGACTTGGATTAGAAAGAACGGTGTTTGGAATAGTTATATAGGAAGAGAACTGGCCAGAGCACAGCCTGGCTGCTTCTCCGGGGAGCTCCGAGGACACGGGACAGGTTACATCACTGTTGACACCATCCCCAGAAAACAGAGCCTCTAGTGAGCAGAGAACCTGCAGGTGTGAACTGGCTGTCCCCAGTAGCTTGTCTCTGCACAAAAGCACTACCTATTAGTGTCCTGTTAAACAGTGAAAAAAAACAACAACAACAAAAAAAAAACCACTGTACTGAAAGTTCAGCAGGTGCCGCAACCACAAAGTCAAGACCGTCCATAATTATAGTCACAGCATCAAGGTGAGGGTCTCTTCTTCATAAGGACCAGAAAACACCTACTTTTCTTTTACCCAAAAACCAACTCTCCTCGGGCCAAAAAAAGTACACACCCAGGAGGGTGTGCCCCAGATCAGCAATCAGATCCCTGGGTTCACAAGTTCACAGCTCATCCCTGCTTAGCTATTTTATCCTAAATATCACACAGATAAGCATAACGAAGTTATGCTGGGGACAGGTTATCTTCCTCTCCTCCTGGGTTTTTGCCATAGGGCCTTGGAGTTGGCACAGGCTATAGAAGTTAGCCAGTTCAACCTCAGTTCGGATATGTGAAATGACTTCCCCAAAAGAAGCTAAATATGAAAGTGCTTACTTTGAGTGAATCTTTATTAGTGAATTTTGGTTTAGAATGGAAATTTGTTCACTATCTATGTCCCAATGCTGCCCCCTGGTGGTAAAGACGGCTCATTCAGGAAGAATTACCTTGAGAGTCAATCGGTTTTCCAAGAAATCTTGCTCAGTGCTATTAAAGAAAGACATAGAGTTGAAATAAGCCTGGGGAAACCTGTGTCAGACCATTGGAATCAATTTCTCCAGATGGGACTTCTCTTAAGTCTTTAATATGCTAATATCAGGGTGCGCACCCAGAGGGGAAATGAAACGAAGCTGAATTAGCTCCAAGGATGTGACCATGGAAACTCTGTCCATAAATCATCTCCAGGAACTACGGCGAGCCAATAAGCACACTTTAGGAACAGTAGCATGGAATAAAAGCTGGATTAGAACACGCTTTTTATATCATAAAGATCAAATAGACAACAGAGATCCCATATATTCCAGAAGGTAGTTTTTCTTAGGGGCTGTTTCCCTTTGCTATGCCTTTGAGTTTTCCCATGAATGAATACACAGACACACACACACACACACACAGACACACACACATGTGCGCACACACGCATCCTCATGCAAATGTAGCACTAACCCAGTTTAAAATCTTAGCATAAGTGAGACAGGAACAGTGAGATAAAGAAACAAAATGCCCGGCTGCTTCGACTGCTGCCGGGGTCAGGGGTCATCGTCACAAGTGAGAAATCTATGGGAGAGATCTGAGCGTCAGGATCCTGGGTCGATTCTGAATAGGCAGCAAGCAGGACTAAGAACCCAATCTATTTCCCATCGGTTCCAAGGCCCCTTCACAACACCAGCAACACCTCACTTCTTCCCACACGAGAGCTAAAAAAGGAAGCAGTCCTGAGTCTGAGGATCCTGACAGCTGGTGACATAAACAGATCTCAGAACAAATTCAACGCAGGCACTGAGTCAGGAAGTCACTGTTTTAAAATTATTCCCTAACATCCTTTCTACCACAAGCAATCAACCAAAGCCTACCCCGGTCATTCTGTAATTTATTCTGAAAGGGGTGTGTGGCTTAGTACTCGCCAATTAGACAGGAGACATCCACTGACTGCTTCGGGGAAAAACATCTCTGTTCTGAAGAAAAAGAAGCCAAGAGAGTAGCTGTTTCCTTCTTTTAGACACAGCCATACCTGGATATGACTTTCTGACCTGGTTGAGGTCAACTTGCTCCAGGCAGAAGAGGAAACAGGAAGCAACCAAGAGTGAACAAGCTGAGAACCTGGAAGAGGTCAGATAACAGAAGAACAAAAGGCTTCCTATTAAGGCTGCCAGTGTGGTCGCTCATCTGAACGGGAAGGCTTCTGAGAATGAGAGGGGATACCACTAAAAATAAGCTGGCACGGAGGGCAGAAAATGGACAACCCTGGCTATATGTGATGCCGAGGAACCTGGGAAGCCAATGCTGGGACTAGAATTAGGGCAAAGCTGGAGGCACAGTCAAAATGAGATCAGTTAAGAGAGGGGGTACAGATGAAGTGAGACAGATTGCAACGATGCTAAAGAGTGAAATAATCATAATCTTAGCTGAGATTATTAAATATGATTAAATATAATTAAAATAATAATCTTAATAGCCAGATAGATGACTGTTATGTCTGAAAAAATGGCATCAAGAGGTTCTAAGATGGCACACGGGTCCATTTTCTGGGACTGGGAACATCACCTCACTCCGGGACGTTCTAGGCAGCAAAATCTCTGAACACTATGAGACGTACAACTCCCTGGACCTGCTCGGTAGCCATAGGTATGAGGAAGCCATCTTAATGTAGGAAGAGAATTGGAAGTGGGGGAGGGACTGGGTTCATTCCCGCCGCCTTTCTAGCATGGGATTGAGAATGAAAGGACAAGATTAGCAGCGAGGAGTCCAAGATGCTTCGTTCAGGTATTTGGTCAGAGTAATGTAAAAATTAACACATACATATTAAAATGTCCCGTTTTCCCTTGACAATTATGACTCAACTAAAACCCCAAGATTCCTTCAGAGAGTAAGTAAGATGTTCTGACTTTGGCCAGCTCCACATTCGTTTGAATAGAACAAACCAGGACGACTATATTCAAAGAAGAGCAAAGGGGATCTGTTGAAATTATTCCCCACTACCAGAGAGTCAGTTACATCTGCAGGACTGCAGGAGCGCCAGCTGTGTTAAATGGCTACAGAACCCGGAGGCCAGCAAAAAGGGAGGCTCAGGATCAGACACTGAAAGCAGGAACGTGGACGCTTACGCTAGACCAGTGCCTGGAAGCGCTAGCCTCAACAGTACCCAGTACCCACGTGGTCATCACTCCTGAATCATTACTAGGACTTGAGTCTGGTGAGACGGCCAGAATTCCGAGTTGTCCTCGGCGTGGGCACAGTGGGGAAGGAGTACCCCTGAGTGCATCCTCCACTCTTCCCCTAGTCACCCAGGGTCATCAGCATGGTGCACGCAAAAACCAACTACCCAACAGGGAACACAGACTGGAGTTTCCCAAGTAAGAATCCGCCAGCAACTGGCCCCGATCCCTTCACCACAGCTCAGTCATCCTTTCTGTACTAAGTACCTCACTCAGGCCCTATTGACCTTAGCCTGGGTCCTAATCACCTGACCCAGAGGCTGCATGGTAAGGGTGACCTCTGGTGGCTAAGACACACCCCAGAACTTGACACCTATCGCCCTGGGCTATTCCACAAATCCCACCACCTCTTAAAGGCTGCTGTCACGAGTGGATTGTTTCAGAGTGGTCTGTCAGTCTGTCTGTTTTGGAGGGCTGAATTATCTCCACTTGGTCTTCCTCTTCACTGAGGATGTAGAAATCTGGAAGCTGTCACGGGCAACCCACTTTCCGCTATCAGCTCTTTTGCTTTGCCTTTGCACTGAGCAGGTAGCGATGAAAACAGCCTCCCCTTGTCTGTTGTTTCTTCTGACCCCGAGTGGTTTATTTTAGGCATATTTAAGCACAGCACAATTTGGTGAAAACTTCCCTGGTCATAATTGATTCAATCCTGTGTGAACGCTAACGCATACATAAATCTTGAGGAACAAAGTAGATTAGATAAAGATTAAATGTGACTACATCAAAAATCTTTGTAAAGTCCATGTGACACCTTCCAGAAAGACAAGCTCTATAGATCAACTGAGGAAACAGACTTCTGATAGGGGTCTGGGGGAGACTCAGGGTCGGTCTCTATCGCAGAGTCACCAGGCTAGGCATCAGGTCCACTCCTCGCCTTCTGGGGGTTTAACAAATTATATGTCCCTCCCTTTGAGGGAACAGCCCTGTGTAGGGAACAGCCCTGTGTGCACAACATTCCAGGATCCCTTGTTCTTCTCTGTGAGTGCAGGGACACATTCTGTCTTCTACAGAATCTGGTTTTATTAAACCAACTAACTCACAATCCATATGAAACTACCTCATTCCTTTCTTAAACGCTTGTTTTATAATACTATTACTTTTACTGAATTTTATGGAAATGACATCATTCTTTGTCCAGCGTCCTAAAGGCTGGAGAAACATGCTTAGGTTCTCTGTATTCTCCTGCTGTGACTGGACAAAGAAGCCGCAGTGAACATTGTTATGTTGGCCTAAAATCCCTTATCTGCAATTCCAAAGTCGGAACAGCTCAGAACGCTGAATATCTTTCAAATGTTTGGCACACTCCTTTGGCAGCTAAGCTCCAGCTGAGCTGCTTCGAGGCTATTTATAGTTTTACAGTACTTTAATGTGAATTCACGCATCCTTTTCGCTGACACACAACTGGCTTTGATTACAGGTTGTTATCCCAACTCCCTCTAGGGCAGTTACAAAGCATACAGATTGTGTGCACCAACTTATCCTTCCAACATACAAGCAATTTTAATTTTTGAAGCATATTAGTACCAAGGGTTTCCAAAAGGTGGCAGTAATCCTGACACTCTGTATGCGTTTGAGTTATATCTTTAGGATACATTTAGAAAGGCTGAATTGCTGAAGGCTCATGCCCTTTAACTTCTGATAAACACTGGCAAATTGTCCTTTAGGCGTTAACTTGCAAGTACAGACAACAACGGCATGAGAAGGAAGCATGTTCATTAGTGTAACATAATGTTCTAAAATTAGAAAACATGACAGAGCCTCAGTAAACTCTAGCTTGGTATTCTGAGCATTATTCCAAATTAAGATAAATTGTAGCTTTTTAAAATTTTGGCAGAATAAAAAAATCAACTGAGCCAACCAAAATAGCACGATTCTTTTATTCATATAAACACTTGTTCAATCAATTGTTCATATATTTATCAAGAGCCTCATAAATGCCAGCCATTGATTGAACTATAAATATGAGTCAGAACAACAAAAGGTCTTGGAGCTGGTCCTTTGGTATGTCAAAGGACAATAAGCAAGAGAAACAAGTACAAACTTTAGATAAATAAATGTTTAGACAAGAGCTCCATTGTTTATTATATAGATAATATCCCTTATATTCAAAGGTTGAAAATCTAACAGGAAATGGTAAGATACATGAACACACAGCTTGACAAAAAAAAATAGGTGATTTCTAAAGCACGCTCCATCAATACAAGGAAAATAAAAGTAATTCAACACTGGTATATGTCTCTCAGAGTAAAGGCTTCAAATGTGGCTGGGCTCCTATAGGTTGGATGGGAGGGTGCACTCCAGGTTAGCTTGGAGAGGAGCAGGACAAGGAACCTGGGCAGCAGCCTGCTCCTAGATGCCTATCAGGAGGCTTTTAGGGTAAGAAGGGGAGCATTTGGTGATATGCAGAGATTTTAGTTTTATCACAACTTTATACTCTTCCTCCCCCCCCCCACAAATTAATGGTTTTTAGTTTGGGATTCTGTTTTTAAGATTTATTTTTATGTGTATGAGTATTTTGCCTGCATGTATATCTGTGCACCACTTGTGTCTGGTGCCCACAGAAGCCAGAGAGAACACAGGGTCCCCTGGAACTTGAGATGATCGTGAGCTACCACGCGTGTGCTGGGAACGAACCTGGGTTTCCTGGGAAAGCAGTCAGAGCTCTTAAATGCTGAGCCATCTCTCCAGCCCTCAGGTAAATGTTTCGTTTTGTTTTTCAGAAGGTTGATAAGGATGGTAAAACCTGAGGTCCATGATGAAATGTTAGATTTGATCAACTATCAAAGACCTCACTGAGGCATGAAAGAAACAAAACAATACCAACTAAAAGCTTCAGCTGACAACTATCATCTACAGCGTGCCTGCCCAGGGATCACCCACGAGGAGAAGATGGACTCCACAGCCCTGAATTCAATGTGCCCCAGCATGCAAAATAAATAAATAATACAAATTAACAATAAAATTCATCAAAATTTTGCAATAACTGAAAGCAGAAATGTACACAGAACAAGAAAAGCGGACTGAACACAGGAAATTATAGCAGAAACGAAGACTGATACGAAGATGAGAAATACTGCTTTCAACAGAGTGGTGTGGCCTTCCCATGCGACACCTGCTGGGAAAGCAGCCATGAACTCTGTAGAAGGTACAAAGAGAGCAATCCCAGTGTTCTAAGGAGGAAATACGAGCAGGCACGGTGTGAAGGAAAATCCACAGACTGCTCCAGGCAGATCAGATCCTGGGCCATAAACAGAACTAGGACTCAATGCACTCTGACTATACCAAGCTGAAACTAGAAAAGCCCAACAGACTATACCTAGAAGCTAGTATCAACTCTTATAAGAATTATTTACCTCTATGTGTACAGGTGTTTTGTCTGCATGCATGCCTGTGCATCTTATGCATGCCTGGTGTACACAGAGGCCAGGAGATGGCACTGGATCCCCTGCAACTGGAGTTACATATCTTTGAGAGCCACCAGGTTAAGCAGGGAATCAAACCTGAGTCCTCAGGACTCTCAACCACTGAGCGAGCCATCTCCCCAGTCAAGTACCAACCTTTTAAAGCTCTAAAAGTATCAACATTAAATAATTTCTAATAATTCATAAAAGGAAACCTCAACAGAAAGTAATAAAATAATCTAAAAGAAAGGCAGCATGTCAGCAAACACGAGACCCAGTTATTCCAGGCTGAGAGGGATACTTCTGTCATTAAATGCTTATAATTAAACACTTACACCAGCCATGATGAAAAGCTTTTAAATAAGTAACCTTAAGTGTTTTTTTAAAAAGATAATTAAAACACGCAGAGCCAAAATCTCTAAGGAAAATATGTAAGAAACTGGAGAGAAAAAATTCAGTGAGGCGGAAACATGGTGCTCTGAAAACACCAGCAAAATGGAAAACCTCTTGCACTACAAGACAATGAAGAGATTATCAGTATCAAGAATAAACCAGAGGAATTACTAATCCAGCTGGTAAAAAGAAATGAGTAACTTGCTATCCGTAAGTTGACAACACTGGAAAAAGGACATGCTTTTCCAAACTCACCAATAACCCAAGCCCAAACTACTGCCCTCTCTTGAAGCCAGTTTAGATTATGACTACCCAGCCCCGGGCCTAGAATCCATCCTGCAGCACCCCATGCTGTCTCCTGGAAATGCTTGGGGATCAGAACCGACTGTCAAAAGGACCGTGGTCGGTCAGTGCCCTTCACGGGGGTGGGGGGGTGGGGGGGTGTCTGAACCCCCACGCTCTGGGTTTCTGATCTCTAAGGATGTTCACAGTACGCCGAGGTGGTCAATCCCCTCCTCACGGCAAACCCGTGAGCAACAGAGCAAAGAGTTCACACGTGAGAAATGTGAGTTCACCATGTAGGAGTAACCTTTTCCAAATGGGTGTTCTGAGTGGATGAAAGCGAAGAAAGAACAGCCCCCATGCTAAGCTCCACCCTCCTTTCCCAAAGATGGGGGAGGGACAGAGGCATGCACTCATTCTCACCTGTATCTTTACAAAAAATCTTGGTCAACAAAATCAAATTTTCATAGCACAAGCTGTAGGGAAATTATATTAATATATCATTTTTTACTTTTATTCAAAATTTTACCGACTTTCTTATATCCCAAGTAACGGAATGGCTTTATTTATGATAAAAATATCTAGTCATCTTTAGTATTCTGGCTCACACCAAAGGATGCTCAGGTGTGGCTCTTTCAGTTTTACAGAGAAAAGGATTTGGAAAACTCATCATCTGACACACACAAATGAACTATTTCTTCCTCCTTCCACTGTGCACCAGAGGCCGGCACTAGGCCTTGTAGCAGTGTCTCAGACTTTTCTGTTTGTTTGTTTTGACATTTTATTGAAACGTGAATAAATAATTTTTGCTATAAATTTAATTCCGGTGAAATACGACCATGAAGATAAGCTCTTCATAATGAACACATCTGCACGTTACTGAAGACCAGGCTCACCGTGGCCTCCACTCCCTGATAAAAAAAACAACAAAAAAAAACCCCCAAAAAACCCAAAATGCTTCGAAAGAAAAGAAATAATGCGCGTGGCCCAAAGTGCTCACGCTTTGCTCCTGAGGCTGACTGTGGGCAGTCACGTGGGGGCTGCTCGGTGGACGATCATGTAAGATTATCTGAAGCAGAACGTGGAGAAGAAAATAAAGGGGGGGGGGAACAATCATAGAGGAAAGGAAAGGAAAAGAAAGGAAAAGGAAAGGAGGCATTGCCCCCTCCTTGCCAGGACTAAATGGAGGTTCAGGCTGCACCTGAACCCAGTCCCTCAAGTCTCATCTGCTGGGCTCCAGGTGACAGAATGCTGTACGCAGATGCTGTGCAGGAAGCCTCTAGCAATTCTGAAAGGACACTGTTCTGGAGGGCATTTACTTCGGTCCTCTATTTGCCCATCTTTCCTCACGTGTGTGTGTATGCCTGCACACATGTGCGCACACAGAGTCATAGAGATCATTCTGAAAGGTAGGAGAGGAGATCATCATGGCTTATGGTTTACGACAAATGTGTACCATCCAGCACGACAGAAAGCCACGTGCCCCGGAAGGTACAGAAGGTACTGGATGCTCAGGAGAATGTCGCTATCAGCTGGGGTGATCCGATTTTTCCATGGTGATCCTAACGCGTTTTTCCAGTTCCAATAAGGTTTGATAAAATTTTTCGGCGGTGTCTTCGTCTATGTCCATCTGGAAAACAAGCACAAATAGAAATGACTACAAGAGAAAAATAAAACAAACCGCATGGAAGCGAAGGGAGGGCGTCCATGAGTTTAACGGGAAGCTAGGAAGGGGCAGAAGGGACCATTCAGGGACCGCTGGGAAATACTGAGGCCATAAATGCTCATGTAAATTCAGCACTCACCAAACCTCCCTCTGCCTGCAAAGATATGAAATGCAAGTGTTTTTCCTACTGTCTCCTAGCACCCAAGCAAGTGCTGAAGGAAACGGGAGAGAGGAACTCTAGAGTCTAGTGATGTTTCACTTGTGTTTTAACAAATAAAGACTGCCTAAAGATCAGAGTAAAACAGCCCCACTGGTCAGCCTCACAGAGCAGGCAGTGGTGACACACACCTATAATTCCAGTTGCCAGACTAGTTTGCCGTAGAAACAGAGAGGTAGTGGTGCACGCCCCTAATCCCAGCCCTAGAGAAGACTGTGATACGCGAGGAGACAGCTCTCACACACAGTCTCATTCTGAGATTCCTGGAGGCAGGATCGCCATTTCGAACTGAGGTAGAGGTAAGAGCCAGTGGCTGGCTATTTTGTTTTCCTGACCTTCAGGTTGAACCCCAATATCTGTCTCTGGGTTTTTATTAATCGTGCTACAGGTCTGAATTCCTATAGATGCTCACCCCCTCCAAAGTGCTTCCGTGTGTAAGAAATAGGAGATTTTATCTTAAGTCACTATTATTTTGCATTCTTGTTCTTCCTGCAGAAAATCTTATTTTAAACTGATAGGAAGAACCACTTTGAGCTGCTGCAATCAGGCTCTTTTTTTCCAAGTCAGTGAAAGAGGATGTCTTAAAAATGAAAGACTAAGGGTTAAGGAAACTTGTTAACAATTTGGATGTAACATTTATCCACATTTAATCCTGTTAGTTCTTCATTTTGAAACTGGAGATGGCCGGGCAGTGGTGGCGCATGCCTTTAATCCCAGCACTCGGGAGGCAGAGGCAGGCGGATCTCTGTGAGTTCGAGACCAGCCTAGTCTACAAGAACTAGTTCCAGGACAGGCTCCAAAACCACGGAGAAACCCTGTCTCGAAAAAACAAAAACAAAAACAGAAAAAAAAAAAAAAAAGAAAGAAACTGGAGATGTTACAGAACTCGCCTGTCCAATCTCACCTTTTTTTTAAAATTAAATTCCTTCCTCAACAATTCTGCATCTTTATTACACTCATCCCACCCTCCCTTATGCCTCCACCCCCACCCCTCCCTCTTCCTGCTTTCATGTTGTTTTGTCTTTTCGTGGTGACAAACTGGGTTTAAGGGTGGTCCACAAATGCCTGGGTGAGGAGGTCACCACAGCACGGAGACTCACGGACACACCACTGATGACAATGACCTGCCCTCCTCCAAGATCTGTCCCTAGTTCCCCCTATCAGTCAGCAGACGGGAGAGCAGAATTCTCCCAATGAATCAAAAGCTAAAATATCTTCTCCAATGAATTTCATAGAAAATTATATAAAAATGCCTGGGTTTGTAAAATTAAACATTTTCTCCCCCGATAAGTAAATTACTCCCTGTAAGGTCATAAAATAGCAAATTTAAATAATTTAAATAAACTCTGAAAGTCTAAAGTGAGCATATTAAACTGCAACAGAATTTCACAAAATATATCATTTTGAATGTTAAGTATCAGTAGTTAACTCAAATTTGAGTTAAACAAACAAACAAAAAACCCAACTCAGAGCAGGGAGCATGGTGGTACTTAGGCAGACGGCAGAGGCAGGCACACCTGCAATCCGCTTCTGCAGGTCAACCTGGTTAAGCAGCCAGTTTGTGTGGCTCACTTTATGCCATTGTGACACAAACTATGGTTCATTTTGAAAGACGGACCCTCAATGGAGGAAAATGATCCCACAAGATTGGCTTGTGGGACATTTTCTTGGTTGGTGAGGGATGTGGGAGAACCCTGAGGGCAGTGCCATCTCTGGGATGACGGTCCTGGGTGCTAACTTCAGAAAGCAAAGTGAGCAAGCCACCGGGAGCAAGCCAGTAAGCAGTTCTGCATGACCTCTGCTTCTGTGTGTGACTCCAGGCTCCTGCCCCGACTTCTCCCATGAAGGACTGTGATGTGGAAGTATAAGGTGCTTAATAAGCCCTTTCCCCCTCAAGTGGCTTTTGTTGTAGCATTTATGACAAAAGCCCTATCTAAGACAGAGTTCCAGGCCAGCCAGAGTAATGTGGTGAGACTCAGTCCTAAAACCAAACAAAAACAAATAAACAATCATAGAGGGGAGGGGAAGGGTAGGGAGGGGCATTGCCCCCCTCCTTGCCAGGACTAAAAGGAGGTTCAGGCAGCACCTGAACCCAATCACTCAAGTCTCATCCGCTGGGCTCCAGGTGAGAGAATGTAAACGCCATGATCAACTACATCGCCTCTGCACCGCTTAACTGTTTCAACATCTCAAAGCCATGCCTGGGCTAATACACTGTGGGGAGCCCAGCAAGGAAAGACAGTGCGAAGGGTCAACTCTACCTGCCTGAGAAACCACTTCTTGAAAATGCTCCCAAGTCACTGGTATCCAATACACGCTTTCTACGAAAGGCTGGTTTTTACCGGCAGGTGACATGGGAAGCAGCATTCGAGGCTGGCTGTCACTGGACTCACGCTGCTGCCAAACGGACAGGTCACCTACTTGGCCCAATCTAGTTGTATTTTATACCAATGCACCCTCAGTACGGGGATGGGAAAAGCAGGCGGCTACAATAAACCTTGCTCGTGACAAAGCTACAGCGTGTTCTTGTAGTCCCAAGCAAATATTCTCACTTCCCCCACAATGTAATTTTATATGATTACTTTTAAGATAAGATTTCAAAAGACGAAATTGATTTTCTCTATTTTACCCATCTCTTCAAAGCATCTGTCTAACAATGCTGCTAATAATCTCAAACAGAATGTGAATACCAAGAGATATTATTGTCACAAAGAAAGACGTTCTCTGTTCCATACAACTCAGGATGTATTTAGTAAGAGTCTCCCAGGTGAAGCAGCATACAAGGGAAGTAGGTACAATCCCTCTCACGAAGCTTACATGCTGACAGAGGCAGCTGAGAGTGAGTGCTACCCAGAACAGGTCTGAGAAATCCAATAACAGGGCACAGGGCCCAGTCTAGAGAGACACAGAAGACTGAGAAGAAGGTGGGACCTGAAAGATAAGCAGACACCAACAGAAACACAGGTAAGAGCAGCTTAGTGGGGAGAAGATGCTCTGAGACGGGAGGGAGAAGAAAACAATGAAACAGACCCTGAGGACGCCAGAGTGAGCGCTCAGGCACAGAGCTGTGTGTCTGATCTGTCAGCGTCATGGGTCCGGAGTATCTGACTGGCGCATGTTCCACATGACAACACAAACCGACTTACCTTTTGGTCCTTGACGTAATTAGTCCCGAAGCCTGTGGTGGAGCTCAGGTATTTGGTCAGAGGGTTGAGAGACTCAGGTTTTTGGTGGAAAAGCCACACCTGGAAGGATAAAGCACGTCAGTGACATCGCTCCTGCCCCAAGCAAGCGAGATTTGCCATCGTGAAATCGCAAGAGTCCTCTCAAAAAGCAGCAGCTAACCTAAGGATCTTTGGAAAGTGCTGTCATGTTCTGAAGGGAGAATATAAGGCAGCCTGCTTCACAGTAGACTTTAAGAGCTAACCTAAGCAAAAAAAACTTAATCCCCATATAAACCCGTGTCTCAGACACTGGTTAGTTCAGTGTTACTGTCTGCCCACACCACAGCAAAGCACAGGTCGCTGGGATATTATCAGTGAGAAGATGCACATGTCCACAAGATGTACACAGCACAGAAAGGAAGTCTTCTTTCCTTTCCTATTTTGCAGCCACTTAGCTTACACCTCTGGGAGTAACCCACTCTTGGGAGCAATGCCAAGAAATACCTGCGTTGAGAAACACATCCTTCTCTCTTAAATGGAAGCATAACACACAGAGGTTTTCTCTTGAACAACAAACCTGCAAATTTTCCAGTCCGTGTATACTGAGCTGTTTTGTGGCGTTTGGAAACACAGCAACCCATCCTGGGCATGAGCTGTAACTAGTATGTTCAGCTTTTAATTAAAGGATATATGCAGCAGACTGCAGTCTCTATGATCACAAACTAAACCACGATGGATGATGAGTACATCTACAGAAGAAATGCCAAAGATGGAAGTTCCTGGTGAAGGGTATGCGCCTTTAATACTTGGCTCACCTTACCCGTGAGTTCTCCACTGGAGCTGTGCCATGCACAAGCGTTCTACTTCCTTATCACCAGCCACCACAGTCCTGGATCAGATGTCCTAAGCTTTGCTCATCTGAGCTGAGCTCTGAATTATAGATTGAATTTGCACTTCTCTCAGCATCACTGTGATGAAGAATCTTTTCACGTGACTGAGAATGTTTAGAATCCTTATGTCTGACTTTTTTGCCTGTGACTCCGACAAGTGCTGTCTTCCCTTTGCTGGGAGTCTCGATTTACTAAGAAAATATTTACCTTGATCTAAGACAGATGCTTGTATTCTGCCTTCTGCTTTATGTATAGTGGACTTTGGGACCACACAAAGTTTATTTTAATTTCCACTCTTTTAGAGTGTCCACACTTAGGTAAGTCTTTGCATTCTGAAATGTCCCATAAATTCCCCATATTTTCTTCTAAGAATTTTAGGCTTTAATTTTGATATATAAACCCTTCACCTATCTAGAACATTATTTTGGTGGAAGGCAGGGAATGATGATCATACTCTCTCTTTTGGCTACATCCTTGCTAAAAAGGGCATCCTTTCCCTCCAACTCTGATTATTAACACACACTAAATCTCCGTACATTTAAGGGCCAATTTCTAAACTTCCTATTCCATGCCACTGAGCCATCAGATTGTATTTGTATTGTTAAAGATCTAATGAGTCTCTGCAATGCCCCTGCTTCCATTCACTCCTCTGGTTCTTATTTTATATAAAATAGATGGATGAAAAACACGCTTGAGGGTTCCAAGCCAGGAACCAGAGAACTTGGATCTGAATGGTAACCATAATTCTGACATCCTCATGTTTGGCCTATGCCTTCGCTCAAGCTCAAACTCCCCTCCTGAGGAGGCAAAACATACACAGCCATTGAGGGAGACCCTAACTGCCCACATGATGCCCTACCATCCCATCCCCCCTCCTCCCCGCCCCTGCCAGCATCTCCAGACATCGGAGGATGATGTTTGGGATGATGCCCTTCTACTCACGTACATCTCAGAAAATTATAGCAAGATCACCATGGATTTTAACATTTATTTTTATTCTATGGGTATTTTTCCTGCATATATGTACATGCCTACAGAGGCATCAGAACTCTTGGAAGTGGAGCTACAGTTGTGAGCTGCCATATGAGTGCTGGGTCCTCAACAAGGCCAGCAGTACTCACCACTGAGCTGTTTCTCCAGTCCTTCACAACGAAGTTTTTCAACTGCAACACTAGGATCCTGGTGCTCATCCTATCCAAATCACCTGGTCCCTCAGAGCCCAGATCTAGCTCCACTCTAATCAGTCAGTTCTGATGACACCAGTCCCAGTGGGTCCCATATTCCCCACCCAATGACAAGATGTCTTGCTTCCTAGCCTATTATATGGATTCATTACTTTCACAAACTTAACTCTAAGCTACTTAGTATCAGAGGATTTTTCTCTTCTAAATATATCCCACACCACTGATGCTCAGAACATATGTGACCCCAGACACAGATGTACAGAATGAGAAATCCCTCAAGGACTTCACACTAACGCTTCCTATTTCTTAGGATCTATACCAAACCAATCTAAAAGCACTTGTTTTCACAATTAATTTGTGTCTACACAAGAACGTATTTGATTCTTTAATTCTTATCATTCCCTTCATGTTTCCCCCAAACTCAATTTGGTCAAGATTTAAGAAGCAGTCAAGCCTGGACCCCACAGTACTAGCCCTCAAGTTTCTAGGACAAAAGTCAGGACTCAGTAGATTGAGTACCACGAGTGAGAACTAAGACAACAGGATTCCAATCAGAAGGCATAAAGAACAGATGGCAAGTCTCGTCTTGGGTGAGAATTCTGAACCACAAGTAGAGGCTGTCCGTGGAGCGCTGGGGTTCTGAGTGTAATATACAAGAAAATACAACTATAGCTCAACAGCAATGCCTGTCCTGGACGAGGAAACACACACAGCCCACCGTTAGGCACCATTCAAGGAAATCCTATTTTCCTAATAAGATCCTCTTATACCTTGATCCTCTAGTACCAAGATAGGAAGAAAAATCTTTACTTTTTTTTCTTTAGATATATTTTATGTGGATGAGTGTTTTATTTGCATACACGTCTGTACCACGTGCATACCAGATGCCTGTGGAGGTCAGAAAAAAATGTTGGAGCTCCTGAAACTGGAGTTAAAGACAGTTATGCCACATGGGTGCTGAGAATCTATAAGAGTATGTGTTCTTAACCACAGAGCCACCTGCCGGCTCCAGGAAGGAAACTCGTTAGGTGACAAGAGGGCTTGTTGCCTTGATGTTTATCCCACAAGGCACACCTTCCCCATGGGAACTCATTCACGAGTCACCTCCTTGCTTTAACTGACTCGACAGTGTCCTGTGGCTCTTCGTGCAGCTTGCTTCTATAAAAGTGTGTTGTCTATAGTCAGGTATCTAACATCATAGCAGACGTTAATTGTCAAACTTCTGATATCTTGTGTGTAACACAATACTTACCTTAGTCCCAAATGGAACTTGCTTGTCCACAGAGCTTGTTCCCTTCGAGCAGCGGTTCTCAACCTTCCTAAAGCTGCAACCCTTTAATAATACAGGTCCTCATATTGTGGTGACCCCCAACCATAAAATTATTTCGTTGCTACTTCATAACTCTAATTTTGCTACTGTTATGAATTCTAATGTAAATATTTGATGTGTGACCCCTGGGAAACAGCCATTAGATCCCAAAGGGATCACAACTCAGAAGCTGAGAATCACCGCCTTACAGCCTTTTACCCAGACAGTGCTCACTGCCATCAGGAACGTGCACCCTCCCATCACTAAGCCATGTTGTAGACTAAAACTCTAGTAACATACCAGCGCTTCTGCTCCATTGTACGGTGTCAGAGTGAAAGCGTTTGCAAAAAAGCGAATCTGACGAAAAGAAAACAATAGTTGTTATGTGGCTATTTAGAGCAGTAACAAAGAGTAAGCTTTTCTCATTTAGATTCAAGAAAGAAAATTTGCATTTATGATTACTGCATATTAAAAACGTCAAGCCGAACAGAAGTCTGTCACTCAGAGTTGAATTCTTAATATTTCAGAACCCAGAATTAAAAGAAAAAGACCAATGTTTACCACTTACCAGCCATAACAGCGGCAAGAGCAATGTCCACACAAAGGGCGGCAGAATTCCGTATGTCAGATTGGTCAGTACTACGCCTGGGCAAATCACACTGGAATACAGACCCTGGGAACACAGGAGAGTCGTCTGAGATTGTCACTCAATGCATACTGACTCAGTTCACGGATGCCCGTTAATAAAAGACACATACAAGCCGGGAAAACAGGGAATGGAAGGTTTGCACTCTCATGCGTCTTTGTCGCTTAGTAGGGCCATTTAAGTCTAAAATCACTTCCTAGGACCAGGAAGCAAAAGTTATTAGCAAGATGAAGTCTGTTCTCAAGACACTTATAGTTTAAAGAAGAGCCGATCTTGATGATGGGAAAGGAAATGGGGCCTGACTACAAAGATTTTCTATTACTGGCTTAATTAAAGACCAATTCATCACCCCCAATAAGTATATAATGGGCTTACTGAGTTTAATTCTTGCCTTCAACTTGCTTCTGATTAATTAAATACAGTTGCTAAATTTAAAAATATGCTGTTTCCCTAAAGCAGAGGTTCTCAATCTGTGGGTTACAACCCTTATGGCAAACTTCTACCTCAAAAACATTTATAATACAAGAAATAACAGTAACAAAACTACAGTTATGAAGTAGCAACAAAAATAATTTTATGGTTGGGGGGTCATCACAACATGATAACTATATTAAAAGGGTCACAGCACACTTGGGAGGCAGAGGCAAGTGGATCTTTGTGAGTTCGAGGCCAGCCTGGTCTACAAGAGCTAGTTCCAGGACAGACTCCAAAGCTACAGAGAAACCCTGTCTCAAAAAAAACAAAAATAAATAAATAAATAATAAAATAAATAAATAATTAAATAAATACATAAATAAAAGGGCCACAGCATTAGGACAGTTTAGAACCACTGACCTATAGGAACATAGCTGAGTTGGACGCTCTTGGCATCAGGAGGAACAAAGACCTTCAACTCAAGATCTCTAGCCAGGTCCTGAGTGAAGGCCTGATCACTATGTAAGGATCTATCGTACACTTGTGTGTATATGTTTACATTTATACACACACAAACATATATATTATATGTATATATACATATATATATGTCTCTATAAAGAAAGCCTCAGTTAATACAGGGATTAAGGTAATAAGAATTACCCTGTGCCAACCATAGTAAGCCCTACAGCTCCGTAATTAATTTTATTACATTTTATATTATTGTTAGAATGACTAATTTAACTCATTCTTGCAACTTTTAATCTCGTTCTCTCTCTTTCCTTTTAAATAAAAAGTAGAAAATGGCCATAAAAAGTAGCTCATTCCTGTAATTCTAGCCCTTGGGAAGAGGCAGAATTTTGAATTTGAGGCTCACATAAACTACATAACAGTCCAAGGCCAGTCAAAGTTACATAGTGACACCTTGTCTCAAAAGGGAAGCTGGGTTGCTCTAGGGCTGTAGCTCAGTTGACAGAGTGCTTGCCTGGCATGTATAAAATCAGGTGTGATGGTGTTTGAGGCCAGCCTGGAATATAAAGATGCTGAAGAAAGAGAGACAGAAAGATAAGACAGAAACCTGTCACCAGAGAGCTGAGGTCACCAGAGAGCTGAGGTCACAGCTCAAGTGAAATGGTACCAAGTGCAAAGCCCCAGGTTTGATCCCCAACACCAAAAAAACTAAAACAATGATTAATTTGTTGAAAAGGTAAGTCAAAAGTATGGAAGATATCATTAGAAAGCCTTCAAATGGAATCCACCAATGTAATTCTTTCTAATTCTTGCTTGGGAATGCTGAAAAAAGAAAAATCATGGGCTGAAAACAAATCTGACAGACTTTAAGACAGCTTCACCAACTTAATCACTCTCCCTCTTTCTTCAAAAAGATAAAATTCCACACCTTACTTGACAACTAGAATGTAAAAAAAATCCCAGAGCTTTTTATGAAAAATAGAACAAATTCAGCTTGACCCGGCCTTCTGAAAAGGGAGAATCAACAGGATTTGGACAGGTTTTAAAGATCTCAAAAATGCTAGAAGGAAATGCATAGTTGGACCAACACACGAACTCCGAGCTGCAATGAAAACCAGAAAATGCCCATGGAAAAAGACAAGAATTCCCGTTAAGATTCTGGACCTGGGCAATCGGTTGATCCATGGCAGCAGGGATTTCCAGGTGGCTGTGGTCAGTAGAAGCAGCAGGACCGACAAGGTTATTTCCCCCTTTCTATACTCCGTAACCTTACAGAAACAGAGCAGAATCTTATCATGACCTTCCAGAAGGTTTATGACATCTGGCTGCCTTTCAGTCACTGGCACGACAGAGGCTAAAAGGCGTGAGGCTTAGCAGGGAAAAAGTTAGCCTTGAACGCTACCGCGAGCGCTGCCATTCACAAGTCATGTGACCTTTGAGCACATGACTCCTCTTCTCCAAACTTAAGAGTTCTCTTCTGAAAACTGGAAGACTGAAAGCCACCCAGCTGTAGAGGGGTGACATTCAGTGACATCACAGGAGGAGAGTACAGCACTGGAAGTGGGCAAGGGCGTCTGTTAGCAGAGGCCAGCGTTCCTGAAGAATACAGCCTGGTAAACAATCTGCACCTCCTTAAGAGGACAGGAGCTGTTTATCCCTCCCCTGAGGCTTTCACTATGAGAGTTAGGGGAAGCCAGCCACGCTCTAGAAATAGCGACTTTTGATGGTTAACTTCTGGGTCTCTGAGACCAGCCTTGCCTTCTGGTTGAAATTCCTGTTCAAAGCCACATTCAGAAGGTCAGTAGCGTATTTGGAGGAGCTGTAGGGTTCCGGGCCTTTGCTGTGCTGGATATCCTCAAGGCTGAAGTTAGATTTCTTGGCATTACGAGAAGAGGTCCAGATGAGCTGGGAGGGGCTGTCGCTGTGGCAGAGAAGGGGTTCCAGTTCCCGGATCTGAGTGAAGAAGACACAGATTAAAAAAGCTTCACAATCCACTGAGGGGCACATGCTAACAATTTAAAACACCCGATAAGACACTCCAAGTCAGGTGATCAGGCCAACAAGGAAAGGCCATAAACTCTGTCATCGTCATTCTGAGCCAGGCTGGCTCTGAACTCTCCATCTTCCTGCCTCTGTCTCCCAAGTGCTGGGATTATAAACACGTGCCAAACATGCCTAACCTTGGAACATGTACTCTTGATATGAGGTGATGAGAAAGGAATTTATATTACAGTCTTTCCAAAAACATTCTGCAGACTAACCATGAGCTAAACATCAGGAAATCTGAGAGACAGTCTGTGAAACACCTGGGTAGCAAGCCCATGAACTGTGAGGTCCTCAAAAACAAGGCAAGACTGTGAAACTCCCACAACAAAGATCCTAAGGGACCTTGACTATAAAATGAATGTATGTGGTGCCCTGGATCGAATCCCAGAGCTGATAGTGAGACTTTAGAACACTGGCAACTTAAGTTAGTATAGACTTACTTAATAACATACCAGTACTGTATCATTTATTCTGACAAATGTACCATACTGACATCAAATGTTAATAAGAGAAACTGAATACAGGATGCACAAGAACTCGCTGTACTTACTATCTTTGCAAAAGTTTTGTAAATCTACAACTACTGGAAAACATTAGTTCATTAGAGAAAAATCTACCAACAAAGCCTCCAGATGTGCCCCATGCAAATGAGCCGAACACAATCGGGAAGAACCCCATAGATAAAACCAAGTCCCACTCCTCAGCAGCAAGACCTCGCTGAACCTGGAGCTCACAGAAAGAATCCCCACTCTACCACCACAATGGGTGCCAGCTCAGCATTCTTACATGCTAATCAAACCAGCAATGGATCTGTTTGTTCATTTACACGACCCCTAAATTCATGAACTGCGGTCGGATTCCTAAACCTAACTGAAGTAGAAGGCATTGCTTTGAGAAAGAGGCTCACACTGTAGCCCCAGATGGCCTCAAGCTTGCAGCAATCCTCCAATCTCAGCCTAAGTGTTGGGATACGGGTGTGAGCCATCACTTCTCAATTATTGTGCAAGCTGTCCCATAAGAGCGAGCCAGAGGCAACCTCACAGAACACACTAGATAAGTCACACACCTCATGCTGAACCTGCTCTATGTGCCTGGAATTGTATGTACTTCCAGGTATGGGCTCTTAAGAAGGAAGCATGATAATGAAAAGCCACCTCTGCATCTGTGTCTAACGACAGCATGCTGGCTATCCCGGGCTATCTGTGTCTAACGACAGCATGCTGGCTATCCTAGCCTATCTGATGCCAAGCCCAGTTTGTAGAACTACTTAGGGCAGAACTAACGTGCTTTCTCTGCCGTTATGCACGTCATTTCCAATAGGTGACTGGGGTCTGGGAATCTGCTTCCTCTGTTCTCTAGGTAAGCAACATTTCCAGAGGCCAGGGGACAGACTCCATGACTCAAAGGTTTCATGGTAACCAGACATGAAGGAGCCTTCACAACACAGTCACGTGTCCATTCATGCTGCAGCGATCACAGTAACAGGATGGAATTAGTAGGACCCAAGCCTTTTTTTTTTTTACCAGGATAAAGTGGCCAAAGAGATTGGTTTCAAACACCTCCTGGAACCCATCAGCAGTGACCTTGTCATTCTGGGTCAACAGTCCTTCCGCTGTGGAGAACATATGAACCACATTTCTGAAACAGCAGAAGACAGTGGGGTGACTTTTAACGCTCCTTTAACTGAAAATATTAAAGATATTACACACAGAGAGACCTTCTTTGAAATTATAATGACAAAATACCAACTTCTTGGACATGTGTGAGTATTAAATGAGTTACTAAATGCTTGTCCCCCCACCCCACCAATTCACGAATGTACTTAACATGCTCGTCTGTCCCCACTACCCAATCAGATTACATGTAAATTATTCTTGGGCAATCACAGCTACGCCTTTGAGAAAAGGTCTTCAGCCATGTCAAGTGTGTTTGATTACTGAAAAAGTTAAGCAGGTTGTCTTTTTCACTAGGAGTTCTAGAAGCATCAAACAGCTTAGTAGTGGGATCTGTTCATGTTTTATCTTCACTGGAGAAAAGTGAAGAGAAAGTAAACATGTAGCTCACATCAAAAACCTCTATGAATAAACTCACTGGGTTGCAAACCAGACTTATTTCTGACTCTGGTTTATGGCTAGATAGCTTTGAAAGCCACTAGACTTGTGCATATTGAGAATCTCTCAGGCAGACATGGGTTATCCACACCCTCTTAGCCTACTGGCCAGAATACCTGCCATGTAGCTAGGCATCTTCTGATGCAGCCTGCTAGGTGCAGGAAGCTAAGAATGCCGCATATCTAGGACGGTTCCGCCAGCGGCACATTTAGCCAAATCAAACACTGACGGCATGAACCATCTGATAATATGGAATGTTACAGAGACTTAGAACATTATAAAAAATCATGACAATGTGTGGCGTTCTCCACAAAGACGAGTACTTGACGTGCCTACTATGGATCAACTCCTCCTGTCCATGTATCTTCATCCTCCTCAGTGTCCCCTCACCCAACAAAGGCAAAAACCATGGCAGCAGAATGAATGAATACCTTTCTTGCAATTGGTTCATCTAGAACCGTGGTTCTCAATCTTCCTAACGCTGCGACCCTTTAATACAGTTCCTCATGTTGTGGTGACCCCCCCCACACACCATAAAATTATTTTCATTGATACTTCATAAATGTAATTTTGCTAGTTATGAATCGTAATGTAAATATCTGATATGTACGCTATCTGATATGCGACCCCTCTGAAAGGGTTGTTTGAGCTTCCCCCACCCATGAATGGGTTATAACCCACAGGCTGAGAACCACTGATCTAGAACATAAAAATTACCTTGAAAAGATGCCCAAGAAAAACGCTTTGAAATTTAGCTGGGGATTAGGCATGATCCCAGCATTCAGATATAAGTAGTCTAATCTTTGAAACCTACAAACAAAATGCCAAAATGACATTATTAGAAAAGACAAGACAAGAGTGCACTCCTTCCCTAGAATACAGAAGGTCCAAGGGCAGAAAAACCCTTTCTGAACCAATTAAGATGTCCATGCAGGCCATGAAACACCAGGGTTAAATAGTTCTTTCTCAACAGTTTCTCTAGCCATAGTGAGTATCTTTGCTCTGGGTGGTTTCAATTGGGCTTTCAAGTTAAATTTCTATAGAAAAATCCAACTGTGGCCCACCAATCAGGCACTGAACATCCTCTATCAAACCATCCCCCTCCCCGTCCTCCTTTTACAAAGCTACTGCCCTTCTTCCATAGTCGACAAGTTAAATTTACATCATGTATAGCAGGCCTGACTGGACCGATCAGCGCCAGAATCTGAATGGCTTGGTATCTACCAAAACAGAAAACCCAAGTGGAAACCAATCAGTGCTCATGGCTAGGGCCTGTGTATCATAAACTGATCAGTGGCCACTCTCCTACCCTGACACTGTAAATGCCCTGTGGGAATTAGGTATTCTCAGTGGGCCTGCTCTAGAATGCGTATCATGGTGAAGCTGAGAAATGCAAACCTGAGTGAGCTTTTCCAGTTCTGGAACTTCATAAGCCTTAATATAAATACATCCCTTTGGAAGGAGGATCAAAGCAGGCAGTAGGTGCTCCCATGATACTCAAGCAACACACATGCTCATAGTATCTCCCGGAACCCTAGGCAGCACACTGTGTCCTCCACGTAATCGAGGACACATCCACAGCTAATAAAACTGGACCTTTGGAATATATGCTTGGCTGACAATACGGATTGTGCACCTGCATTTCTTGATCATGCTATATAATAACCATATGGTCCAAACTATTGAAACGACTATTTTAAGTGATGACACTGTTGCCACTATAGCCGCCGCTCATCATGGAGGTGAAGCCAGTGGGACCCCAGGTTAATTATTATCAAACTTCAGTAATAGGAACTTCTTTTCCTAGGCACGGAAAAGCAAGGCTTAGTAAAATGTGGAAATGAAGCTCTGGCTTCAAGCAAACAATGTAATCAGTGTATTCAAAGATGAAAGCATTGCCATAGTGTCTCTATCTAGATAAAAACAGCATCAGTATTTCTTATGGGTTCCAGCCGAACAGAGGACTGTGGGTGGAGAGACCTGGTGTCGGACATAATGAGCGTTTGCCCACTGGAAAGGGTACTTCCAAGCTCTCAGGGCTCTGAGGTCATTCTGCACAGGTTCCCTCAGCACAACGCGTTTTCCAGTCCCACATTTACTTCTCATTTACTGCCCCTTACTTCCCTGTCCTTTCTCATTTGATTAACCGCTATGCGGCACTACCGCATCTGTCGAAAGGTGACGTACTTTTGCTTGACTTCCTTTGCACCCTGGACCACCGACCGCAGGCTGCTGACATCCATCTGCACAATGCTGACTTGGGCGGAGGGGTGAGAGGCCAGCAGGGCATCACGAACGGCTCCGGCTTTGCTCAGGTTCCTACACGCCAAACACAGGTGAAGCTCGTCGTCTTTTGCCAGCAGCCGACTGCAGAGGGCCAGCCCAATGCCACTGAGGAGACAATCCAGGCACAGGGCGTGAGCTCACTGAAATGGTTGGACATTAAAACATTTCTCTCTGGTTCAGACACCTGCCTGTGTCAACATGAGCTTCAACAAGAAGCGTGGGCAGACAGAAAATACCCAAACATCACGTGAAGGAAGGAACCCCCTCATAAGTCACTTGATTAGGCTCACATCTAGTTGTTCCCCTCTAAAATAGTTCAATGACACAGGAAGTAGGGTTTGCGGTACCTGTTGTGTTGGGATTTAATATATACCAGCAAACGCTGTGAAGAGGACCTTATAGGCTGTTTATTATGTCCCCATTTTCTTGTGCTGTCTAGGTCCCTCAAAGGCAAGTGTTCTACCTCCTCTTGGTGCTGTTGCTATTAGGGTGACCACAATCCCGATGAGTGAACGGGGGCGTTTCTGTTCCGCTCTCCTATCCCCCAGGAGAAAGCACAGTAGCATGGCAGGAGGTTGACGACCTGTCAACTACTAAGTCACAGCAGGACAATCAAGAGGAAGAAAAGGCCCTCAGAGCAAGTAGACAGAAAGTATGAATACAAGGAGAGGAAGACAGAGAAGCAGGGATGAATGAGCATAGCTCACTGAAACCTTAGACACACTAGGTCAGAAAGAGCGCTATGAAGAGTGCCCAGCAGATGGGGCCAGTTGCTGGCAGCAATGACATCCTGCGCACTAATAAATTCTCAGGTAGACTGCCAGCAAATCGAACATCAAAGTGAGTCTGGAGTTCACAGAATCGGGTGGCCCTGCCAGGAGTAGCAAACATATATAGGCCTCTTGATCCTTCCTTCAAAAGGGCAAGACCGTTAGTATAAATATACAACTGCACATACCACAATGAATAAAAAAGAAACACAAGATCAGGCCTGACTTCTGTATGCACCTTCCACTAAAACAGTTGACCTAAAGGAGAGGACCCGCCAACAAAAGCCTATGAGAAACCCCTCCTACAGGGGCTTAGTTAGCACGGACATAGTTAAGATCTGTATGAATTCCTCGAAAATATCAATGTAACCAGCTCGGAGAAAGGTTGGTCGGTTTCATCCTCCACACAAACTTCGCAGACAAATAAGAAGTCTAGTAGGCAACAAAGTAGGGCAAGGGTCAAATGAGCAAGCCTGGAACAGGTATGAACTGGTGACTGCTTTAGGACAAGCTTTAAACAGGAGGCGACTGATCCTTCGATTTGTTTCTGGGGAGAGTATGCGAGACGTGCTGCAGGAATGAAATCTCCCATTGTCGTAAAGTTCGTGGAGGCTGACATTTAAACTCCCGGAGTGTAAGACACACGGCGTGTTTAGGGTTAAAGTAAACTGAGGGTACCTACAGTAACTAATGGGGTCTGGGTCTCTGATGGAGAGGATGGCAGAGTCTGAATGGAACCGTCAGGTCCCTTGAGAGCACTCCAGGGCTCAGGATCACTGTCAGGCTGATCAGTAACTGGAGCTCTGGTTTCCCTCTCCACTGTCATGTTTAATTCAGAGCGCCAATTACCAAGCACCCACAGGGGCAGGCCTGACCACACCTCTTGGGAGGCCCAGAGAAAGGCAGGGCAGGGTCTCTGTGGAATCCCCAACGAAGTGAGTCCAGAGTCACCGACCTGCGCTTCCCCGCAAACCCGGAACTTAGCCTCCGGGGTTCCGTAGGAAGCCTCACCTGCTCGCCCCGGTGATCAAAACCACCTTCCGCATCTTGCACGGCGCGCAGCAGAGTTAATCTGCACCGGCGACCACAGCAGCTCACGGCCTGGACCACGATCCGCGCCCTTGCGCACCACGGCCAATCAAGGCTCGGCCAGGCCCCACCTCCCCTTGCGTCATCCGTCTCCGCCTAGGCCAGCCAATTGCGACCCGGCATCCTCTCTCCACGCCGGGGCCTGGTGGGGTGAGATAGGCCGAGGGGCGGAGCCGCGTGACACAGGAGTCCTGGCCAATCAAGGCAGCCCCCGCCCCCAGGACCTTTTTTGCAGGAGGTGTCACCTCGGGGCGGGGTCTTTGCTCTGCGTAGTGAGAGCGGGCGGGCAAAGGTGGAAGCGTCACGTGGACGCTGGCAGAGGGTGGGGTGCAGGAACCTAAATCCAAGGTTAAGTCCTAGAATGTCTTCCGAGCCTTCTCTGAAGAATAATCTTTGAGAAAAGGAACTATGATTTTATTGTGTTTTATTTATGTCGAGACACGGGTGAATTAGCAATTTCCAAGTCTGAATGTGGAATGGAAATGAGAATTTGAGAACTCTTAAAGGGATGTGTACTGTCATCTTCTGCAGTGCCTGTCAGGCCTCTGTAAAGGGCCCTTTTTTGTCGCCAGGTCATCCCAGATGAGTATTTTGCAGGGAGTGCGGGAGGGGAGGAAGCTAAGTAATGAGGGAGGGAAGGACAAAAGCTTATAAGTTACAACCCCCATTTTATATTAAGTTTAATTCCTATAAAAGTACCTTGCGCTGCTGTTATAATCCTTATTCCAGTTTTTGCTATTTATGGATGGTTGAAAGTCCCCAGTAACATTGAGTAAAGGTACTAGTACTTATACTTACTGCGACTAGACAAACTCCATACCTCTTTCAGAGCTATAGACTATGAATAGCCGTGATCCTAAATGATTGAGATGATCTTTTCTGGGGTTTGATCTTGATGTTTTGATTCATGATACCAACTAACAGCTAAAATTAAAATGGATTTTTGATCATTTCCTCAAAGATGGTATCTTAACAGTATTTACTAAAAGCTTTGGAGTAAAATTCTTTGTGATCTTGAGATTCTATATCCAAAGGAGTCTTTCTTTTTTTGTTGTTGTTTTGTTTTGTTTTGTTTTTGGAGGCAGGGTTTCTTTGTGTAGCTTTTGCTGTCCTGGAACTAGCTGGGATTAAAGGTGTGTGCCACCACTGCCAGGGTCCAAATGCTCTTTTTAAACCCTGGAGTTCAGAGGTGACATGAAAGAGAGCATAGAGAACTATGTGGCTCTCCAAAAGAAAACTCATTTCTTAGCCAGGCAGTGGTGGTGCAGGCCTTTAATCCCAGCACCCAGGAGGCAAGAGACAGGTGGATCTCTGTGAGTTCAAGGACAGCATGGTCTACCAAGTGAATTCTAGCACAGGCTCCAAAGCTACAGAGAAACCCTGTCTTGAGAAAACCAAGAGAGAGAGAGAGAGAGAGAGAGAGAGAGAGAGAGAGAGAGAGAGAGAGAGAGTCAGAACCCATTACTTTAAAGAAGTCAGAAAGCACAATGCCTAGGCCAAGCAGGTGTATCCAAACTGCACCCTAGGGTAGCTCTGAAAGTGGCCAACAAAAAACTGTAAACTTAAATAAAATATTATGAGGTTTATTTTGAGATTTTTTAAAAAAAAAAAACTCTGTTGTACAGTTCTTAGCATGAACTTTGTCCATGGAAGCATTATATATCACAATGTCGGGTTGGATGTGTCAGCTAGGGACTCAGCCTCACCAAAGTCTCAGATGAGACTCGCTGTAGGGCCAGCTTTGCATTACACGATGCCCAGAAGACTTCAGAGAAAGTCTGTCCTCCTCTCTCCCCTACATCCTAGGCCAGAGAGAAAATCTGAATGTCGCCTTTCATTTTACTGAAGTTTGTTTTTGTTTTTTATTTTTTGAGACAGGGTTTCTCTGTAGCTTTGGAGCCTGTCCTGGAACTAGCTCTTGTAGACCAGGCTGGCCTCAAACTCACAGATCCGCCTGCCTCTGCCTCCCAAGTCCTGGAGTCGCTGCATTCAAGGCCCTGTGACCTTCAAGCTATGGACTTGACTGTGGCACTAAACTGCTTCATTTTAAAAATAATTTGTCATAGGGAGGATACAACCAAAAACAAGTGGAATATATTTCACTCTATAACTGAGTGGGTTGTTTGTTTATTTGTTTTTATCTCCCTAAACTAGTCATCTTGGGTTTGTATTATTCAGGGTCTTCTGTTGGGTACCAGAGCAGTGTGGCACACAGTGAGTCTACCTATCACTAACAAGCCTTGATAGATGAGTTGAATGGTAGGTGTACCACCTCTATCATTATTTATGCTCCGTATAATAGATATGTCTCTACCCTAAGCTCTGGCGCTGATCTCTGGTTCTTTTTATCATACAGTAGATAAGGACGAGGGAAGGATCTTTTGCTCCTATAACAAAGCTCCATTCTTGGTCCTTGTAAACTTTCCTGGAATTGCCTGCCTCTGATTTGCAAACAGAACTAAAGAGCAACTGCAAGCTGGCGCTGTGTAGCTTGTCTTGTTTATATTTTTCACCCCTCTTCCTGGAAATAATGCGTTCAGTCTGACCCAAAACTAACTCAGGATTTTTCCCAGTTCGCCGATGGCAAACAGTCCCCTGTTACCCTGGGTTGGCTCCAAGGACTACAGAAGAGAACAGTTTGCGATATGTGGCCACTTCTTTTTCAAATGGGGAATAAATATAAAACAATACATGGAAATTAGTTTTCTTGTTCTCTGCGACTTAGCCAAGCTCCTGCGAGTTGCTAATGGAAAACTAAATGGACATAATTTCCATCCTCATCAGCAACCTGTGTGTTAGATACATGAATAACTGGCCTGTGTGTTTGTGTAAATATGGATGCAAATCATCATTCATAGCTGCCTTCAGGCCTTGGCAGTAGGTATTGACAGCAGAATTATATCCTCTGAACACCTCTAATCCCCTTGTTTCCTTTCCTTCCCTCCCAGTTCCACCACTCAGGTACCTGAATTCCTGGTCTTGGGTCCTAAAGTCCCAAACGTTGCAGAGATGGAAAGAGCAATCATGACTATTCTGTTTATTCTTGGAGCATTTACATCCATCCTCTTATCTACTGTGACAAGCTCTGGAAGAAGCATGCTCAGGGTACCCAGAAATCTGTTCTGCAGGTTGATGTCAAAAGTGTTTGGGGTTGTGCCACCTTGTCTCTATTGTGAAGCTTGAATCTGGGTTCCTTCCAGTTGTCTGCAGTGTGGCTGCTTTATGCTTGTGTTATCAGCTACCTGAGACAGACCATGCCATCTTTGGAGTTAGTAGAGATTTCTGTCTAAAACAAACAAACAAACTCCATAGCAATGACTATAAAGGCTCTCCAGATAGCAAGGCTATCGTCCAGGCAAGCACAATAGTATGAAGCTATAAAATCATAGTTTCTACTGTATTTGGATATGTCAGAGACATAGCTGTGTTAGTTAGCTGTCAACTAATATCAAACAGAAACCTATTCTCTCTCTCTCTCTCTCTCTCTCTCTCTCTCTCTCACGCATGCGCGCGCACACACACACACACACACACACACACACACACACACACACGTGGCTGTACTACACAAACTGTATAAGGAGGAAAGATAACAGAGACCCCCCAGAACCGTTGCTGCTTAGACAGAAAGGAGGCCCCATCAGTAGCATGACTCTTTAATCTGTTATTTACAATGTATCATCCAACAGCCTTACAGAGAATAAATAAAGAAAATACACAATTGGCATCACATTCTGCTCCTTTTCCTAATACAGAGGAGTTTTGTGTATTCTATTTTAGAATGACTATGATAGTCTCAGGCAGAAATTAAATCCATTTGCTGCTTAGCCCTTAACGAAGCACATTATCCACCCCAGCCCGTGAATAAAGCCCAGATGTTGCCTCATCATGGTAGAGTCCACCATACTGCTGCGGAAAGTCAGTCCTCCGAAGCAGTTACCAGACATCGGGCAAGAAGGGCTGAATCCTGAATAGCAAAGAATGGTTCAGATGACTAGTGCAGATTGCAAACCCTCGGTGTGTTTGCAGAAAAGCTCCCAGCTTTCCCCATTATCCAAACCCCTTTGAAAGAAAACACGTTTGCCCCGATATTGACTGCCTGTGCTTTCCCTTGACAGATGTTTCCTTGACGTGCAGTTGGGACTGCAGATCAGCCTTGGAACTCGTATCTGTTCTCCCAGAAGACCTGTAAAGTGACTGGCAAGGTGTCTGTAGGAGAAACTCAATCAATAGCTCGGTTCAAAAGAGCTGGATTTGGAGCCAGGGTCTACTCTCTGCCTTTGAACTAGAGCCCTGGGAGAAGCACCATACGTGCTGTCTGAATCAGTTCACCACCACAAGACACAAGGGGGTACATGCTGCAGGATACTTTCTTCCCTTTTCTTTTTATGCTTTAACAGAGCACTTCTCCCAAAATTCACACTTGTGATACATAACAATTTGTCCATACTTTATTCACTGAAAACATAAAATTCACAAAATATTCATTGTGTGCCAGGAACTTTATAAGCCACAGACAGTTATTATCATGTAGCCCCTAAGCAGGGCAGCTTAAAAATGGCCAGCAGAAAACCCAAAGTCATGACCCTTTAAACTAGAGTTTCAACTTTTCCGTAGGAAGCTTGAATTTAATTCAGTAGCTGTTAGGATATTTAAGGATGAACATTTAAGCAAATGAGACTTCCCCGCTACTCTGAAAAGGGTGTTTTATCTCACATTAGGGGTTTATATTTGTGTTATAGTCTACCCAAAAACTATCCCTGCTTCCAATAAGTATCACTTAATTCTTGACCAAAGTCCTGCTTTACCCTAAAGCCTCCTTGTCACCAACAAAAGCTCCATTCTTCTGTTTAGAATTTCCTTCTGCCTGAAAGCCTTTTATATCACTAATCCTCTTAAATTGTTCATGGATTGTTTGGGGTGCCAACCAAGGAACTAATCATTTCATATGATTGGTGTGGAAAGCTATGGCCATTCTGGGTCCAGCAATGATGAATGTTAATTGAAAGTGAATTCAGCAAATAGGTGAGATATTGTTCACTGGCGAATGGGCTTGCCAACTGCTGGTTTCTCTCAGCATTTGTAGAATAATGTCCAGGCTCCTTCCTGCCGTGTGCCCCCAAGGCCAGGTTATGAACCAACAGCAGTGATGTCCAATGAGCAAATGAGTACAAGGCAGGAAAACTGGTGAAATCCAAGTTCAGTTTTGAAAATGGCTCCAAGCAGACAATGGTTTTGATGGATGAAAATAGACTACAATATTACCAGCAGAAGGAAACCAGATCCAGGGTAAGCCCGTGCTGAACTGATTCTTTTGTAACTTCTTTCAAGTTTCAGATCATCTGAATATAACAAGTATCTGAGACGTATGGGACAGCTAACTGGTGGCTCCCCGGTCTTTTCCTGCCAGCCTACTCAGCTCATTAGAGAATAGAGCCCAAATCTGCTCGGAATCAAGTCCTTATTAACTACCCAGTTTCCTTCCTTCTTAATTCAGGATCCCAAATAATTCATCAAGTGCCAATGACATTCATCTGTTTCTAGAATATGAGACTTCAGTTCAAAAGGATTTCCCAGAGTAAACCAGAATCTGCATCTTGTCAAGACGTTAGGGGCTTACCCAGTGCAGCGCCCAAGGACATGGGCTTCAAAACAAAGAAAAGAGGACTATGACAGAAAACACCAGACCCATGAATTCAACTTAGGATCAAAGTCATAATAACCAATGTACTGCAATTCTCTTCATTTTGTATTTTGGGATAAAAATATTCTTCTGTCTTTTAGTGTATGTGCTCAGAGCATCTTCCCCTGTTCCCTTCATCCTGACACTCCCCTCTTTCTCTTCTTTACTTAAAACACATGGCCTAGCCTCACATCCTGGTTTTCTTGCGGAATGCCTGGGTGAGACTAGAAAAACATGTTTCCAATATGACACATGCCTCTGTTTAAGAATCAGACAAGGTTTAGTCTTGTCTAACTTACACCTATTGTTTCCATGTTTGCTGGGGCCACTCTGGGTCCAGCAAAGATGAGCAGTATTGAAAGTCACTACCATAAGCTCCCAAACTCCTAGACCTTCAAGCCGAAATAGCACGTGGAACACCAAGCCCAGTGCACAGACAGCTTTGACTTGCTACCAGCACTAGATGTGGTCTAGAAAAAATAGGAGCACAAACTGCCTCCTGTACCCACTTCCCCTGAGATAAAAAGGGCATTCCCTGGTGGCTACACATGCCTTTATCCATGAAGACCATCCCCGTCCTTAACTCTGCCAAAATCCCTTCTATAGCCCTGACTTCACTTTAATAAATACAGTCTCTCTCACCCAGTTTTTCTTCTTCTACTCATCCTTCATTCTTTTCAAGTCACTTTTTCTAATCTCACTCAGATCTCCTTTCAAGGGTTTACTTTCAGGTATCAAAAATTGATTTCATGGCCTCCACCATCCCTGTTTCTACCTTTCCTGGCTTGCCTCCTCCTGTGTCTTCCTATAATCTCTCCTTACCTGTCTTTATGGTACCTTCTTTCTCATCTTTGCCTCATCCTTTCCATTCAGTCATACACACACACATTTGTGTAACCACTTTTTAAAACCACTTCTCGCACACTTGCACACAGCCCTCTTTTGTCATACAGTCTTGAACACTCACAGGTGATTTTTCCATAGCCTTAACAATGCATGATCCCCTAAGGGCACTCCTTTCGACTCTAGATCACATACATGAATTAGTGAGATATCTGTCTGGCCAACAGGGAAAGATTTGAACATAGATACTGAGGCTATAGATAATGATAGAACCTCTGCCTAGTATGTGTGAGTTTCTAGGTTTGATTCCCAGCACTAAAAAATATATGGAACTGCCTATCAATACATTTGTCATAAAGGTAGAAATCGAGATATAATAGTCTAAAGGTCATCTTGACATAAATGGTTCATATATATATCATGATCATGAATATATATGATCAGAAAACAATAACCCACGGTTTCTCATCTGTTTCTGTTCTCTTTCCTAAAGCCTAGCTTCATTTCTCTAATTCAGATTTGAGCTACCTGTTAAGTCTATATGGTAAGCCCTTCCCATCTACCATGTTGGGTCACTCAGGTTGGTACAGCTCAACTCTACAAGTATAAATAGAAACTAATCTTGTGTCTATAAATCAAAGGTCTCAGTGCCAGAAGGTAGAGCCTTCTTCATACAAAAAAAAAAGAAAGGAGGGAAGGAAGGAAGGAAGGAAGGAAGGAAGGAAGGAAGGAAGGAAGGGGAAGAAAGAAAGAAAGAAAGAAAGAAAGAAAGAAAGAAAGAAAGAAAGAAAGAAAGAAAAGGAAAGGAAAGGAAAGAAAAGAAAAGTTCTGCTTGTACATGATGATATGTTTTGGAGAGTCACCTGGAACAGATGAGTTCCATGATGCAAAGTCAGGGAATTTCATTTTAATCACGACTTTTAAATAGCAGGTAAAGGAATAAAGCGAATTAGGAACAGAATCTTAAAGAGTACAGAGCCAAGAGTTGTGAACGAGACGTGGCTGGCCCTGGAGATACCAAATGAGATAATGGGTGGGAATTCTGGGCACTCTAGAGCAGAGATGATGCTGGCGTCAGCGTTTCTAAAATGCTGCCTCTCAGGGTCTCTTTTACTGGCCACACTTTTCTGAGCAAGAGAGCAACTGAGCCTACATCAGTCACAAACCTGGTTTTCCAGTAAGCACAAAGCAGAGCAGAACTCCAAGAGATTTCCATTTCCAGACCGCCTAATTCAATTTACTCCTTAGACAGATAAGGAAACAGATTCAGAGAGACAATGAGACTTGGGAAGATGGCATACTTGGCTCAAGGCAGAAAGAGGGCCAGAGTTCCAAACCCAACACTCACCTACCTCTCCTCCAATCAATGACCCCAAAGTTAGTCTTGGGAAAGACTAAAGCAGAAAATTATACAAAAGCCACAGGAAAGGGGAATTCACTATGACTAAATAGGATCTGAGAAATCAATTTTAAGACTTAGAACTACATCTCTGCTGTGTCCTGGAGTTATCTGAAAGCTGAACCAAGAAGCAGCCAGGCTTCTGAGAAACCATAGAGCAAGCTGCCTGAGTAGACAACGGAAGCAGACCACAGCTATTTTACCTCAGCTTGGGCAGCTTATTCAGTAATCTTTTCTTGGTTTTTTTCTACAGGACTTAAGGTTTCTATATTCTAGTTTCCCAATGAATCTGAGAGTCTTTAGACTATGAAAACTTAGGATCTGCTCTTAGACAGCTCCTGTTTGATGGTGTATCAGTTTCCACGAATCCTGAAACTAGACCCCCTTCTCTGCGGCTGGCCGCCATCTCCATGGCAAAAGCACATTCAGTAACACTGAATGGCTATCCTTTGATTCTCCCATACAGACACAAGTATCCAGTGGCCAAGAACCTCTTTCTTGCATAGTTCTTCAGCTAATATCTGAAAGTTCTCAGAGATGAGAGATTCACCATCTCTGGGGAAGTCCATTCTTGCCTGTATGTTCTGATTCTCTCCATATTTCCCCAAATAAAGAGTGAAAATCAGTTTTCCTATACCTTCCTTTCAAGGTCCAGGCCAGCCTTTTGGGAACACTCAAAATGGATCTACTGTACGTTGTACACAGCATTGGATATTTATGCCTGAGAAGTTCAAATCCTAGCCTCTAGGTCACACAGGGGAATCACATATTGAAAGAAACAGAACTGGGCAAGATGAACTAAAGGAGAGGCCTTTAAAATGTCAAAACATCAGGCTTTTACTGATTAAAAAGTCAAGGTATCCCTAAAGCACACAGGTGAAAATGTTTGAGCAAGCAAACAAGCGAACAACAGAGATTGCTACTATTCATCCTCCACGGACCTCCTTTCCTATGACTCTGTCTACTGAGAATCCCGGGCAATCTTTCTTTTCTCTTTATAACTATTGTCCTTCAAGTCTCACAACAGACATTTTTTTCCTGTCCATATGACCTGTTTCATAGGCATGCCCTGATCTCTGTCCATGAGTGAAGAAAACATTCATTCCAAAAAACAAGGCAGAGCTTTTGAACTTTTAAGTACATGTCACTCACTTTGACAAGAAAGAGAGAGAGACAGAGACAGAGAGACAGAGACAGAGAGACAGAGACAGAGAGACAGAGAGATCTGAGAGTGGGAGTGGGTCAAGTCCAGAGGCCAAGTCAAGAAGACATCCATTAGTTGCGGAGTACCAAGTCCTGCAATTCTTCACGGCTACCAAGTCCTTTCCTTATGCCTAAGCTCATGCTTCCCAAGACATTCGTATTCTTCAAGTTTTTCTTTCTAAAGGTATTCTATAGAAAGTGACATGGAAAATATTGCAGGATCTGCACACTTATAAACATAAGCATAACCTTTATAAATTATCTGAGTTTCTAGCCTTTATTATCTAACACTTAGATATATCAAGTAGTATTTATTTTACTAAATTTTATCTGCTCTATTTTTTTCCTTTTTTAGTTATTTCATGTAAAAAAAAGTATATATGAGTCAGTGGTAGGGAATAGGAAAGTGTAGTGGAGGAGGCAAGAGACAGTAAGAGGGTAAAGTGAACGCTTGTCTGTCTCTTTGGTCCATTAAATGTCCAGATGAAGTGGCTTAAACATGGGTGAGCGGTAGGTCTTGTGGGAAGGACCTGGGCCACAGGAACATTGGCAGGCACTGATGACGTCACTCGTCCCCTTGTTGAAGAAGCAGAAGGTGTATTTCTTGGAATGATGGCCGGTGCTTGGTCTCTCTTCTCCAACAGCTGAGCATCAGCTTATATACAGAGTCGGGGCAAATGGCTGGTTGAGGGAGATAAGTCTTTGGGAACAAAAAATTTAAAAGAGAAAATACAGATTAAGAGAAAGGAGGTGAATAACTTGACCATAGCTCCATTTATGCCCTCACTACCTTATTGAACTCAACAACCGAAACAGATAGAGCATTCTATCTAATCTTCTCAATCATGGAGTTCTAGCTCATTAGCCCCTTTCTTATTTCCATGGTCTTTCCTAGTTCCCTTTAAGCGGTATTTTATGGTGGACCATGCTGTGAGCCCTATCTTCATGCTGAAGATAAAACCAATGCAAAGCAAGCTCAGATCCCCAATTTGTGAGCATGGATCTTGGTTGAGCCAATACAACAGATATCAATTACATTTGTAACTTCAGCTCCATAAAGCATTTGACGTTTTATTGCAATTTTGCTTGGAATAAAATTTCAGCCAATGCAGAAATTGGCATGCAGGTCGCATCCTTGTAATGCCTACTATTGTCCTCCGTGTTTCCCCTCCTCTATACTAGTCTCATTTAGAAGAGATTAGATTGCACTGACAGGGTGGTCACTGTGCCCTACCCCCAGGCTAGGATGTTGCTCTGAAGCTGTCAATTAGCATCTCCACAAGGACGCAACTCTGCTTAATTCCCAGCCTTCTGTCTTCTATATACTGTTGTTATCATCCCCTTACCTATAGTTTTAATACCCTGTTATTCTGATAGATTACTGAGCCATACTCAAACGCTCCATGTTCCCTGAATCATCAAAGTATCATTGCTTCTGCTGAACACAATATCTGTGCCTAGTTAATCATTAACTCCTTCCCATTGCCCCGCCTTACCCCAGGCAACACCAGCCTGTATCTTGTATCATGTATCGTAGGAGCTGGGCTTTACAGAGTCTAATAATCACCTATGCCCATCAACTCCTAGTTCACAGGTAAAAGGGCTAATAGGCAAAATCTTTTACTTCTGTTAAAATAGCAAAGTAGATAGAATATCAGATCAGATATAACAGTTCTGCGAGTTATAAAACTACAGTTGTAAAAGACCAAGCATTTGAGAGACACCATTACCAATAAGGGTACAGCATAATAGGCATTCACACATATTACTGATAAAACTTAAAGCTGCGGATCTCTTTGTGAGGTGCCCACTGTAGAACTTTATAAAAAGTATTATAGAAGGATGCCAGATGTGGCAGAGGCCGGTTTGTAATCCTAGTACTTGGGAGGCTCAGGCAGAAGAATCTGACTTCAAGGTTACCTTCAGAATGTAGCAAGGCACAGTCTCAAAAATAACAAGAGCAATAGCAACAAAATCCACTCTGAGCCAATGTATATCAATAAAATTGCAATAGTAAATAATAGGAATTAGTAAGGCCCCTTTCAAATGTTATAAACTTGACAATTTAAGTTACATTTCCTAATACTTCATATCATATATATGATTTTGTTACCTCTTGTAACACCAAAGAAAAAAATTAAAACTATTTCATTTATTTAGTTATTTATACTGTGCGAATTCAAGAAAAAAATGCTGTCTGGAATTTCTCCATATCTTGTGACTATAAATTAAAAGCAAAAATGTCAAATACATTATAGTGGTTGAAACTTTTGCTATAGATGCCTAAGCATTTTAAATTGTAGATAAATTGTTTAAAATTTTCTTAAACTATGAACCCTAAATATAAAATTTCTTCTAGAATTTACATTAGCCCAGCTGTTCTTTCTCTTCCTTGTATCCAGTAGGCTTGCTGAACTACTTGAAAATGATTTCAGCACATGTGTAGTTCAGTGACCACAGAAGCCATACAGCTGCTGATAAACAAGAATACTGACATTTCAGTTAGAAACACAATAGCAATTAAATTTTGCCAAATTTAATAAATTGTGTTTAATCAGTTATTAACATTGATATACCAAGTTTAATAATTTTTATCAAAATTTCCAGTTGTAACTGAGAAATGACTCAGTATATAATGGTAATATTTGGCTTTGGTCTGGAGTCAGTCAAATATCCGACTTCAGTGCTTGACCGTTGGTAGATGGTCAAAATGTATATTTGGTACACTGCTGGTATCTTGTATAGGTAAAAATAGGGGGCCTTTTTACACAGACTGTCCAAAACTAAATGAAAAAAGTAAAGTTCTGAAGATTATTAGAAATGAGAATTTCTATTGCTATCAGATGGTTTGAAAAGATGTGTTCTTGTGAAATTGAATAACATAGAATTGAAAAACTTTTGGGTATTTAGAGATCATTTTTAGTATCACAAACATTCATGTAAAACGAGCAAGAAAGGACTTAGAGGCCTTCCTCTTGTGGCATGGATGGTGATCTAATTTTGCCTTGGTATAAAAACTGACTCTTCAGGGTTTCTGTTGATAAATATTAATTTGAAGAAAACTAAGAGGCTTTCAACAACTCTACCTTTGCATACAGTTCTAGGATACACTCAAATTAAGACCATTATTTTGATGAGTAGGATCCATTTTCTAACTGAATGTACAACTCTTAATTGGTCATGTGTCCCCTAAAACATGGTTTGAATAGATTAATCCAGGGAGAGGAACTTTTTTTCTTGGTCCATTGCATATTTCATAAAGACAAGGACAAATGTTTGCTTTATCACAATAAGAGAGCGGTTATCTCCTGTGCTGGATTGTTTTATGTCAGCTTGACAAAAGATAAAGTCATCTGAGAAAACCTCAAGTAACCTGAGAAAAGCTGACTTAAGAAAATGGCTCCATAAGATCTGGCTGAAAGCAAGCCAGTAGGCCATTCTCTTCATTAGTGATGGGTCAGGAAGGGTCCAGCGTATTGTGGGTGAGGCCATCCCTGGGGAGGTGGTCCTAGATTCTTTAAGAAAGCAGGCTGAGCAAGCCATGAGGAGCAAGTCCTCCTCCATGGCCTCTGAGTCAGCTACGGCCCCCAGGTTCCTGCCCTCTTTGAGTTCCTGCCCTGACTTCCTCAATGATGGACTACAGTATGGATGTGGAAGCCAAATAAACCCTTTCCTCCCCAACTTGCCTTTGGTCATGGTGTTTCAGCACAGCAACAGAAACGCTAAGCCACCTCCTGACTAGGACAGGCGATAGAATACCTATTACCACACTATCTAAAGAATATTGAGATTAAAATGAAATTCCCTGCCTGTTCTCATTTGCAGCATGTACCATGTGTTATTCTTGCCCCTCTCTTGTCATTTTCTTGTGTAAGTCCAGGTAAGCCAGAAAGGACCCACTTGTATCTCCTGCAAAACCTGTCTCCAGCTCTTACCATCTTCCTGTTGATGATACCATGGCGTAAGGTTTGCTATGGACAGATCACCTGAGGGGCTGCAATGCTCTAGTTATTAGCAAGCTTTAAGTCCTACGTCTCTCAAGAGCATTAAATAGTTGGCCAACCAAAGAAAACTTGATATCTCAGAGAATCCAGACTTGTTAGCTTAGGGGCTCAGTAGTCCATAAGTCCCAAAAGGCTCCATAAGCAGGCCCAGCCTCCCCAGAGAAGGGCCAGGGTACCCGGTCTATTTGTGGATGTGCAAGTGCAGGAACATTGCTCACCAGCCCAAACCAACACCATATCTTAGTCTAAGACTTGTAAAACAAATACCATTAACTCCCTTCACTCTTTTTTGTTGCCAAGTGGACTAGTCAAATAATCTAGATCCAGAAATAGATTGAGCATAAGAAACAGAATTCTGTTTTTGTCCTTGAACTGGGGTCTTCCTACTAAGTCAGAACCTTCCTTTTGAGAGCACCCCAGTTCACATCCCCAGTGGTTCATACCTGCCTCCCTTGGTCTCGGAAGAACTCTCCAGTATTCTCAATGACCTGCTCGTCCGACAGCTGGGAATAGGGCTGCTCCTGGCAAAAGGTGAAAGTCTCCCACAGGGTCACCCCGAAGGCCCACACGTCACTTGCTGTGGTGAATTTGCCCTATTGAAGGAGAAGAAGAGAAAATCAGAGTAAGCCAGGTACAAAGAGGAAAAGAGCACGTTACCTGCTCATTATCTGGAATCAGTCTTCCCCTACCAAGGACAAGGATTGTGGCAACTGGCAAGTAGTGCCTGGAGGATCTGGAAGCAGCAATATGACCTTACTAGAAAGCAGCCCACTCTCCCATCCCCGTGACCTCGGCTTAGTTCTGTTTCTCTTGGAGATGACATCCAAGAGCTGGAAGGATACTGACCATGAGCCAGTGGACTCGATGAGTGCTAGAACCCACACCTGTAAGCTACCCATCCTTGGAACACTAGAAGGGCCACCTGTAGGATATGGGACACTGGAGAATCGCCAAAGTTAGCATGAGAAGTCAGCTGTTTTGATGGGAGGGATAAAGGAAGATGTTTCAAGTGCATGGAATTAGGCCTGGTGGATTGAGGACTCTTGCTTCCATATTCAGTGATAGCCACTGTCTTGGAAAAAAAATGACATTTTCATTAAATACACATTTTCTGTTTAATAAAGATAGTGACATGAACTTATAGAGGACGTTGATTTTTAGCTCAGAAGAATAAGAGAAGTTTGCTAAATCACCCTGGTTAATAAGTGCTTTAATAATGCAAAAACTGGAGTAGGAAACATGGTCCCCTGAATGTAGTCCAATATGTCATTTTTTTAAGATCACAAAGCACCTTTAGGTTTAAAAAATGCTATTTATCTATCTGTCTGTCTATCTATCTATCTATCTATCTATCTATTTATCTATCTATCTGGGTTTCTCTAGTTGTCCTATAACTTACTGTGTATACCAAGCTGGCCTAGAACTCATAGAGATCTGCCTGCCTCTCCTTCCTTAGGGCTGAGGTTTTAAAAAAAGGTCTAGAATTAAGACCATTCAATAGTTGGAAGGGTAGAGGAGGAAGGGTACTAAATTCCTTATATTTTTAAACTTTTTCCCTAAAGTTTCAATAATGGTGTATTACCTTTTTACCAGAAATAGGTAAGTCTTTAATAATAATAATAATAATAATAATAATAATAATAATAATAAATGTTCAGAGACGATCCTCTCAAATCAGGGAAAATATCAAGATCTGTGGGCTTGCCTCCTGCTGCCTCCTGTTTGTCCCAGCCTCCCACCCGAGCAGTGGGTCAGCTGCTGGACAGGGCTCACGGATGTAGAGACTCACCAACAAGATGCTCTCCCATGACATCCAGCGGATGGGGAGCACGGCCCGGCCCTGGATCCGGTAGTAGTCACCACTGTACAGGTTCCTGCTCATCCCAAAATCAGCTATCTTGATGGTGTAGTTCTTGCCCACTAAGCAGTTTCGGGTGGCCAGATCTCGGTGGACAAAGTTAAGGGATGAGAGATATTTCATTCCAGAGGCGATCTGGGTAGCCATAAACTTCAGGTTGGCATAACTGGAGGCACACATAAGAAAGAGAAAGCAGCTGTGGAGGGGGCATATACTAAACAACAAACCAGGCTTGAACCACCTATATCCTGCCTCCACTCTTAAGGAATCTGTTTGATTTCCCCTGCTCCCCACAAAGCGTAGCTCCCCCATCATTCACTGCAATAATAGACTTTCCACAATATCCCCACGACAACAGGAACCTTAAACATCACCTCTCCCCATTTTCAGGCCCTTATGACCTTATGACCACAGAGAAAAGACAACAGATGTGAGTTTTTTTTTTTACCTGACTGTGGCATTGCTAGAACAAGAACCCAGAGGCTCGTGGCGGGAAAGAAACTGATTGAGATCTCCATTTTCCATGTACTCCGTGATCATGCAGAGTGGGTCATCAGTGATGCACACAGCTAAGAGACGTATGATGTTTGGGTCCTTGAGCCGAGACATGATCTTTATCTCCTTAAGAAAATCATTCCTTTGGAGGGTGTGATTGTAGAGAAAATCAGAGGTTGTCAGAATCGGAACGGAACAAGGAAGGATACATGACATTGTCTGTTCCCACCCATCACACCACGCCTTGCTCCCCTCTGGAAGATCTTTGAGATGACAGACAAACCACACCCAGAACAGTCACATTCAGCTCCTCCTTGAATAAAACGGACCTTTATTTAATCAATAATAATGTTCTTAAGAACAAGATCTGTGTCTCACTTTTATATCCCTCCTGTGGTGGTAAAATGCCCACTACATGGAAAGGTGTTGATGTTACTGACTCAAATATGTGTTACTTAAAGCTACCTTGCAAATGGAGCTTTTCACTAAAAACCAACTTGAGGACTTTAAGATATTTGCCTCTTTCAAGGCTACTGAATCATACTCTTAATGAAGTGGAGATACTTTTTACAAGGTAATAACCACCCTCTTGGTTATCTGATCATTTCTCTTTTTCTCCTACTGGCGTTTCCCAAGACCACCTGCACCAGCAGCCAGCCACAATATACACTGATTTGGTAGCCTGTGCAAGCAGAGTTGTTTGAAAGTCATCGTGGTAAACTAAAGTCATTTCACAAGTACGCATCTGGCCAAAACTTGCAATGGTTTGAGTTCAGGGTGACAGCCACACTTGAGTTGCAAATTGTCAACATGGAGCCTATAGCCCACATTCCCAAAACTCCAGGAGCAAATCAGTTAGAAGTCTCTGGTGCGTTTTATAGAATTTCTGCAAGAAAGACAATGCATCTCTTTCAAGTCAGGCTCTGTCCATATACATTCCTGGGACCCATGTAGTCCTGATTCAGCATCTCCTCTCTTACTTTCCTGTGACTCCCAGACCATGGGTTTTGGTGACTCATGAGGACCCAGAGTCTAGGCCATTTATCACTATCACACAAGAGTGAACACGAGTGGACCTGGCAAATTGCATCAGCCCAGAACTGTGCTGTCCTATTTCATACAGTGTCTTTTTCTCCTTGCCACTGTCTCCTGCCACATGCAAAGATTAATATGAGAAATAGCCCATCTCTCTGTGGGCCCCGGGGAGTGCTGCTTTTAGTTCACGTTAATGTTCTTAAGTCAAACTTCTTGGTTAAAGTGTGAAAGCCCACACAGCTCCATTTCCTCACCTTTCTTTCCAGTTCATAGCCTGTCTGTTGTAAGACTTTTTTTTTTAATGAAACCTATCATTGTCCTTGGAATTTGTGATAGCTTAGGGAGTAGGAATAATAAACTTCCTCTTGGGATGAATATCAGTGGGACAAATCAAGACAACACACATGGGAAGATGCATGTGGTGTCCAGATGTTCGGGTTTCTCTGGGACACAATTTGTTTTCTAGCAGCGTGCCCCTCCGGGTGAGGATTCACTCATCATTACCGTACGGAAAGGCTGTCAGGGGACAAGGCAGGGTGATGGAAACAGCAATGTATGTCGTAAAGGATCCAAGAGACTAGCAGCCAGTTAGGAAGCCTGCTAAAGGGTTGGGGGTCCTTTGGCTCTGAGGTCCATGGATGCATTTCCAAGTAGAAGTAGCTTCTCATTGTGAGAAGCTGCTGAACATAGAAGAAAAGGAGCATAAAAGAGGAAAAAACAGGATGAGAAGAAAACAGAGGTGTGGCAAAAACAGGAGAGCAGAGATGTAGGCAGAAAGATGTCTGTCTTTGTGAAGTCAGCTAGAGGAGAGTGCCATTCTAGAGTATGTCTGGATATCATGAGAACATATGTGAGCTGTTGTGCACACTAGGGCAAGGGATTTAGGAAGGAAAGATATAGCGACTATAATATAAATATATACATTTATGTTTGAAAGAGATGGAAAAAATGGGCATGTCCAACCATATTGGAAGCATAAAACCTAAGAGTGGGCTTGGCGGGGACAGCTCACTGACCTTCCCATCTCAGAAGAAGAAAGAAAAGAAAGGCTCAGGAATTTCCAGGAATATTCCTAATCCTCACATTATGAAGTAGGTAAAGGAAAATTAAAAATTCAGATCACAGACCTGGCATTCTTGTTTGCATCTGCTCGGAGCATCTTCACGGCCACCAGGACAGGCTGGTTGGCACTGACATCTTGAGCAAAATCTTTGTCTTTGAATTTTTCCATTCCCTCCACTTCACAGAGATGAACCTAGACAAAAGTCATCTAGTCTCAGCATCATCATTTCTCCTGAAGATGGCTCAGTACTCTTGCTGGGCATATCCTGGAGATAAACTAATGCTTACAACTCAGGCAAAATAACTGAAGACCAATAAGAGGCTACGGGTGACATATCTTTGATTTAAGTAATTGACAACATTAATAAACAACACTGAAGTACCCAACTACTATAATATATCGATGCCTTCTAAAAACAATATACATGAAATGAAATATTGATAAAGGATGGGATGAATTTACAACATAGTATTTTATCACAGCATACCTGGTCTAGAAAATATCATTTGTCATAACTGTTAAACTTTGATTTGAGAAAGTTAATCCCTAGTCTTAAAAATATAAGGCAGTTATTCTAAGATAATCCCTTGGGGTGAGGAGAACGTCATAAATTACGCCTATGTGTTAGTAATAATATAGTGGGTATAGGATTTCAACCCAGGGGACAGAATGAGTCCATATTGACACCACAGACAGATGTCATAGGCTCCTCTGACCCCTCCAACACCAAACCTACCCAGAGGGAGAATATTTGATCCTTATTGGAAGTCAACAACATATTCACTTAAAATTAAGTATTATAGTTGGGGCTTAGATGACAGGATTAAAGGAACCTTATGACAGCTGAAAACATCGCTCTGAGTTCCCTGAATGTTTCTGGGACTCACACAAGAGAGAAAAGCTTACTATTCCGTGCCTCATTCTAATGGCAACTCAGAAGAGGACTCCTCCTTATCTAGTGGTTAGTTAATTCTGGAACCAAAGGCAGGGCGGGATTGGATTGGGTTTGGTTTGGTTTTGTCTTTTACCATTTTGACATATAACTCTCATTAAAAGGAAAAAAACTGACAGCATGAAGCAGGGTGTTCCTAGGTAACCATAAAAGATGATGATGTCCATGAGCCCCACTCTTGGCAACCTACTGGAAACAGTTTTTGAAAGCATTGAGTATTTTCAGGGTATCTGAATTCTGGTGACTTATTTGCCCTAAAACCTTCTGTATATAAAGCAAACACCCCAGGAAATCCACAGCTCTTACACAAAGATGAGGTCAACATTAACTGTCCATCCTGACGGCAATGCAGGCAAGTAGAGGAGACCTTCAGTTCTAAGTAGACCCTTGCGCTACTGATCTTTTTTTATCCTTCTGCTTCCTTCACATCATCAAGAGCTGGGTGTCTCCTTCCGAAGGTCAACTCACCTCCCCAAACTGGCCTTCTCCCAGCTTCTCCTTGAAAGCCAACAGTTTCCTGGGGAACTCTTCCACAGCCACGTCCTTCCCCGACAGCAGGTCCATGGTGACAGCAGGCACTGAGTAGGTGTTGCCACCTGTCACCCCCTGGAGATTCACTATGTCGGCTTCTGCATAGTGGGGTACCCCCTCGGGTCCGTTGGGCTGGGCTGGCTTCACAACACCACTGCAGGCTGAGAAGACATGGACACTGAGTCTGGCTCCAGGGGGGCAGCTAAGGGGAGATCTTTAAGAAGGGATATCTGAGAGGTTAGCCAGAATCCAGCCCCATGGAAGCCTAACCCACTTCACACATACTTATCTGGGGTTGGTTGTGTTTCCTCTAGCCCCTTCCTTTTGGACTTCAAAATGTTGGCTACCATTTTGTTGCTCAGTCTCCTCACAAGCCATCATCATGAACAAGTCACCTGACTAATCCTATGGAATTGTGTGGCTAAGTCTTAGGAAGGTTTATTCTGTATCAGGACAGCAGTCTTAAAGGCTGAAGGTTTAATAGAAAACTTTCTCAATTTCAAAATGCTGACATTAATTTAATACCACAGTTTAGAGGAGAAAACAACTGCAGATTGAACTCATATGATTTTGTTTAAGATGTACCACAATGTAAAAAGTTAAAATCTGATTGATATTGGAGATGATTTGGACTTCAGGAAACAGGTTAACTACTCCAGTTCTGTTAAGAAAATAAATTCATAGACAGTCTTTACTCTTGCTGTTTCTAGGAAATTAGATAAATTCAGTGTTTTCTTTCTATGATGTTTTATCCCATCAGTGGATAAACTGGTTGTTAATTTCCTTTCTTCTTTCCGCAAGTTTATCCCTTGATGAACCTCTACTCTTCTCTTTAGTCCTATCAGCTGGCTAGGCCTTCCTCCCCTGCACGGAAGTCCTCTGCTGCTAAGCTGGTCTCTGCTACGCTGATGACCTTGGAAAGCTGCGAGGATGCCAGAAATGATCAAGCATCCCTCCTGATATCACTCTATGGCACTTTTTAAAGGGGATGGGGATTCGAAGCAACTGGTACTATGTACCTTAATCAGCACTTTTATTGAGAAAATATAAAAAGAAATAAATAAAATCTTACGCTAGTGTAATAAATATTTACCAAAAAGAAATAAAAAATGATTCCATTATTAAAATAGCTACCCACAGCTATGGAATACCTAGCTTCATTTATCATTTTTCCTCCAATATAATTTCCAGTCTAGAATTTACCCCGGTGGAATCTGGTTTCAAGTGAGTGCCCAGCTGGGCCTTCTCTCCCATTACACACAGAATAAGAAGGTGACCTGGGTGAGACAGCTTAGCTGCTTCTGGGAACATCTTAGTGATACTTTGCCAATGTTTTGTGGGTCCCTCTGTACATCTTACACTAAATATAAAAAGAAGGGTTTCAGAAAAGGCTAGGAGCAGCAGCTACCAAATCTAGATACAGACTGTAGGTTTCTCCAGAAGCTGGCATAGACTTAATGGATTTGGTTAACCTGCAGCAAGAATGTTATAACTACATCACATGAATCAAAGTTTCTCCCTTTAACTCCTGCCCATAATTTCATCCTCACCTGGTTCCTCCTCCCCTGGAGCAAATTCTGGGAGCTTTCGGATGAGTCTGGATGGCTCCTGGTAGTCAGGGCGAAGGGGAAAGATTCGATCATAAGTAGAGTTGGACTCTTGCTCACTTGGGGACGAGGAGCGGTTGTTATTGAACATGCTGGACTCGCTGGGCAGGGAGAGGCTGACTGTCATCTCATCGTCCAGCATCCTCCGTGAGGCCTGAAGGACATGGAGGGAGAAGAATGTGACTCTCTCTCCCTCTCTCTGATCCAGCCCTCCCTCTCAGCTCATCCCTTCAAACCCCCAGGAAAACAGCAGCTGACAAGGAGATTGTCTGGTTTCATAAATGTCTGTGTTACAGAAACTTAGCAAAGCCCATATTTCCTCAAGGCTGAATTCCACCTTCTAACTCTTGTGCTGACACCGCTATCAAATCTGCATCATTCACAAAACTCTGTAACAGCCGATCAGCAGCCAAATACTGTCTCCATTTTTAGAGGTGTGTGAGATCTGTTGAAGAATATGTTTTGTCGACTTATCCTTTAACCCTTTGATCTGGGTCAACATAAACCGAAATGTCCACTAACTCAGGAGTTCTAAAATATGCTAGACTAACAATCTATCCGATCACCCTAGTATTACAGGCTAGAATAATAAGCTAGCCTTTACTAGCCCCAAGCAGAATGGTCAGTTACCTCTACTAAAAGCAGACAAAGCACCAAAGAAGCAGTTGTTGTAGTGTACTGTCTAATGTAACCACCTGCTCCAGTAACAGAAGACTGTCAGCATCTAATGGCTGTCATATCTGAATTTGCAAAATGATCTATTTTAATAAACACATTTGAGTACTCCATAGAGTACATTAGATGTCCGTCTACTAGACTGGACAGTACCTTGTTGCAGGAACACACTCAGAGCAAACATGGAACCCAGAACCTAGTAGGTCCTCCATAAATGTGTGGTGACTTTCTCCAAGAAGTATTGCTTAGGAACACCATCAAAAATATCGACAAGAAATGTTATGGACTATAAATGTGTTTAGTAATGCTGTTGGAGCATATGCGTACATAAAGTTTTTATACACACACACATACACAATGCTATCAAGATGCTAGCAAGAAATCCAGAATGTCATTCCAGGGCACTGTGAGTCATTGTACAGGGCTATATAAAGAATGAAAGAATAGTTGTAGAAAAAGTTCCTTAAAGCATTTAAAGATCCAAAGGCAAAGGAAGCTGCCCTCACGCTGTTGGGGGAGTTTCCAGACTAGCATTCGTCTCCCAGATGATGAAGACCATCATGCAGCTTTCAGAAGAAAGACCCAGAGAAATGTGGTAAATTATAGTCAAATGAAGAGAGAAAAAACCTAGAGCAGAGAAGGCAGATTCTCTTCCCTCCTTAAAATAAAATGTATCCCGGCTAGGCTGTTCAGTAAACACAAACGCTGGTCCCCCACCCCTAACTGAGTGGCTATTGTCAGCTGATGGCTTCCCAAGGAGGGAGAGTCAGTCTTCATGAAGGTTGTGACTTCTGCTAGGTTGGCCACTCTCCAGTGGATGGCCCCACGCCCATGACTACATGCCTAGCACAAAATGGACATAGTAGGTTATAAAGAAGAAGGAGGGAGAGTGGGGATAAATATGATCAAAACACATCATATGAAATTCTCAAGGAATTGATAAAAATATGTTTTTAAAAGAACACATGTTAGCTTCAAGCAGCCTAATGGAACTAGTCAGCCGGATTCTCCCGCCACCAATGGCCCTTTGCTACCTTCGAGCTGGAGTTACCCATTCAGATACGAGTGCATTTCAGTCATCTGAAAGATGGAACTGCTTAGTATCCTCCCACAGGCGCCTTGACACATATGTATGCCATTGAGTAATGCTCTGTGGGGTCCGCTATTCAACTCTGTAGATGCTGCTAAGGAATTGAAGGCTCTGTTTTGCTTTGTTTGTTTTTGTGTTTTGTTTTTGTCTGATGGTGAGATGCAAAGAGACTTTCTCTCCTATGAAATATTCCTGCCCCACAACCTTAAACTAAGCCTCAACTAACTTTGGGGCCTGAATGTGGAGCAGGTCAGAAAGGACCACAGGTGACTAGCTAGGTTGCTCCTCTCACATCTTAAGTGAGCCCTTTCATTCCTATCCTACATAGAGAGCGTTCTAGAGATTCAAGACCATTCTCATGGCGTCCTGCCCCTCTTCTGGCACAAGCCTTGGTCTCTGAAGTAAATGACTTCCTTCTAGCCTCCACGGAGACTCGCAGCCTAGAGCTCCTATGATCCATATCCATTGATAGGAGCTCACTGACCAGAAAAGCCAAAGCCAGAAACATTTCTATAGATTCACAGGTAGACAGTCGCTTAGCATCAGTGTCTTTGAGGGTTTTTTCCTGATTAAGAAGTCAAGAAAAATTATAGATCCTCATCTTTGGTGAAGTGTATCAATTTTGAACAATTGAAAAACAAAACAAATCCAAAGATAGAATACAGATCATCCCTTGAGTATGCATAACTCATCACAACAAGCTCAATCTAGTTCATCTGAGCATCATCCAGAGTGGCATATGAAGTAACGTGGGTGAGCTGGATGTGGCAGTGCAAGTCTATTATGACACCTGGTGGGGGGGGGGTGGTCAAGAGGATCACAACATGGTCAAGACCAACCCAGTCAACAATACCAGGCTAACCAGGGCTACACAGGAAGATTGTTTCAAAAACAAAACAAAACAAAAAAACATCAGAAAATAAACCTTCAAATATTAAAATATTAGATATAGATACTTGTGACAAAAGTTATCCATGTCATTTGAGCAAGTAATTTGAGGAATTCAGGAACGTATAAGCATAACCATCAAGTTTATAAAGATATAGGATTAAGATAGGATCCAAAACTACAGAGAAACCCTGTCTCGAAAAACCAAACCAAACCAAACCAAACAAAAAAGATAGTGATAAATTACTTGGTAGTTAATGAAGCTAAATGTTTTTACACATACAGAGAGAGAGAGAGAGAGAGAGAGAGAGAGAGAGAGAGAGATACGTAAGCTTCATTGTCAATTTAATGGACTTTGAGTCACCATGGAAGCATAATTATGCATATGTAAGCAGGTGTTTGGAGCAAGACCTAGCTGAGCAGGGAAGACCAACCCCGAATGTGGGCAGCGCCATCCTATGAACTGGGATCCCAGACTGAATAAAAAGGAGATGGCAAGCTGAGCACCAGCATCCATCTCTCTCAGCTTCCTGACTGTGGGCATGATGTAAGCGGCCACTGCCTGCCTTCCACCATTCCTTCCCTACCATGAAAGACCGTCTCCCCCCGTAAATCATGATATAAAATTAAGCAATCCTTAAGTTGCTTTTTGTCATCTATTCGTCACAGCAACAGGAAAAGTAAATAATGGGACACACACACAAAGACAAACACACAAAGAAGAGAAAGGACTTTAGGACCACTGTTAGAAAGTTTAGCAGGACCAAGAGTGATCCCCAACCTCAGCTGGCCATCAGAATCGTTGCCTAAGTGAAAATACGCGCACAGGTGCCTGCAATCTAACTCAGCCCAGCAAAAAAAAAAAAAAAAAAAAAAAAAAAAAAAAAAAAAAAAAAAAAAAAAAAAAAAAAAAAAAAAAAACAGATTTTTCACGGGAAATGCCCAAGTTCAGATTTAATATATTAGGAAGCATTTTCTGAGATTCCTAGGCAGACTCTAAATTCTTCATTCTGAAAATGAGAAACTCGCTCACTTCAACAGCCTTCTCCACGCCTCTGCTTCTTGGTAGCCTCAGGCAACTCACTAGCCTCTTGAAACTTTGTTGGAATCTGGCACTTGTGGTGCCTTGGCAGTCATAGCTCCCTGTCCATACTGCACAGCCTCACCTTTTCTAGCATCTTCTGCCAGAACTGCCTCCACAGGATGATGACGATGATAGCCAGCAGGATGAAGATGATGGCAACCAGGCAGCCAATCAGGATCCGGGTGTTGCTGTCATCCACTTTAAGCATGGGATCTACGGCCAAGAAGAGAAAGCAGAGGAAAAGAATCATTTCGCAGGGCAAATACAAAGCAGCCATACCGGGAAGAGAGCATGGAGACCCTGTCCCTTCAGGAGGACTCCAGAAGATGCCATCCTCATATTTCAGCTCTTACTGATCTTGCCTTTATTGCTTTGCTCCTATTTTCTACGCTGCGCCTCCATAAGTCACCACCAACCTCCGTGTCTCAGACTAGGTAGTGAAGAGTTTTTCTACGCATGCCCACATTTTCCCCTCTCTATTGCAACAGTCCATATGCATAGGCTCTTAACACGCATGACAAATAGGTAAGAAATGAGTCCCGCTCCCTTCACTCTTTGAGATGGGCCAAGGAAGCTGAGACTCCTGGCAAGAGTGAGTCATTCCCATGTTTCCTAATAGAGTGCAGACTATTATAGCCGGTGACGTCCTCAAGCAAAGAGTGCACTTTGGATACTCATTTCCAGGGAGACAGAAGAGCATTTTGTTTCATAGACCCTTCCATGCCCTGAGATCACTGCTATGGGTCTCATATAGAATATTCCCTTACTTGTTTCTTCTCCAAGTGTTTTAAACTTTCCTGGAGCAGCTGGAACATTCAAGATTCTGCCCCTCTCAGCTGCAGAAACTCATGAATGGTCAGAAATGAGAGTAACTCTGGACCCTTCACTTTGGGGGTGGACTATTCTTCCTTTAGCACATGGATGAAATCAAGCCCACTCACAGTGAGGCCTTTGCAATTTCTATCCTTCTTTATCTCGCAGGAAGTGCCTTCAATTTAATATTTAACAATTAATAATCGTACATACCATAGGTTGTAGGTGCCATAGGAGAGGTGGGCAAGGCTCCAGAATTGTTATACATTGCAGTATCTGTTATAGAACAAGAGTGAATTAGAGCTTGGAGCAAACAGCCAGGCAGGCAATGGCTCATCTGAAGGTAGCCTGAGATCTTGCATACTGAAAAATCAATTTAGTGGGTTACAAATACGATTTTGGGTGGGGGGCGGTTTGAGACAGGGTTTCTCTGTAGTTTTGGACTCTGTCCTGGAACTAACTCTTGTAGACTAGGCTGGCCTTGAACTCACAGAGATCCACCTGCCTCTGCCTCCCAAGTGCTGGGATTAAAGTCATGTGCCACCACTGCCTGGCAATAGCGATTTTTTAAAATGAAGATACCCTGAAAACATGTATCCAGGCAATACATGTATTAGCTCATTACACTGTAACCCATAAACTCCAAAAATATGTCAGTTAGAAACAAAATAAAAAATGAAGGCATAAATAGAGTTAATAAAATATAACAATCTGCACAAGTAAAGGCAACTTTTCTTGTGTAAAAACCAAAATTGTTGCAAATATTAGGTACTCTCACAGTATAAAATGTTAACACATGGCATTTCAGAGGGCTGCGGTCATAGATCATCATGAAATGGGAATGGATGGAGAAGAAGACCTAAATTCAACAATATGTATGAGAACTGAGTAGATACACGGGCAAGGCGTAGACTTAGTACAAAGGCACTGCTTTCTTCAAAGAATTGAAATGATTTTTCTAAAGAGATTTTCACTGTGTTTCATTGCCCAGACTCTCAACTTAAGGCTTCATTCATCTCTAGAGACAGAAAATCTGCTTTGTAGTATCCTTTAATGAGATGCTGTAGCTTTCAAGAACAGACCCCAAAGTGGGCTCTCCATACTGATGGTGGCAACTAAATTTTAACTCAGATTTGTCAAGAATTAAAATATGAATTTCTCTTCTACAAGGCATTCCTTCAACGAATCCTAATTTTTCTTCTTGCCATTATTAAACAGCTTCTGGCGTCAGCCATACTTGTTAAATTAGGTCCTCAGGGATCTAGAAAAGCTAACATTATCAAGACATAGCATTTGAAGCTCAACAGAGTCCCAGGAATCAAAAGCAGAATCCCAGCTTTGCTTGTCTAAGATAAGACAAATGCACCAATTACTCTGCCAAAAAAATTCCCCAAGGATAGACAGATATCTGTGTTTACCCAGAGCATTTCCAAGAACAGCGGGTATCCATTTGCCCCCTCGATTATTATTACAAGATAAGAACCACTCCTTTTGAGCATACAAATTTATGCTATGAATAAATTAAATAAAATAATTAGTATGTTTGCTTTTCAATTACATCATTGGCACTGATATAATACAGGAACCAAGGCTGTTTTCTAAACACACACACACACACACACACACACACACACACTTTTCCTATTAGTATAGTCTAACAAATGAACCATCTTGAAAATTTCTTCCTTAGAAAAAAAATCAAGCCAGAAAGGATATTACCTTCTGAAGCATGGCTAAGTTACTCTCTTCTTCTCTGTCATCTGATTTTGTGCCTCTGCTTTTCTTCCAGGCCTGATGTAACTCTCGCGTCTTTGCCACTATTCACGACAAGTCCATGGTTTTATGCCCTTCTTTTCCTAATTGCTTATACTTCGTTTTGGATTATTTCTGAAAAGTCATCTTATAGATTTCTATTTTCCAAACTAAAATTGAATGTCATGGACAAGGTCATAACCTCCCTTTAACTTCTCAAGGTTTAGTATAGTGCAGGGTTTCTGTGAGCTCTTCTTTTGCTTGAGGATGAGATAGTCATTTTTAGAATTTACTGATAAATGTTATGAGTGGTTATAATGACATTATACTCAAAGAAGTATTTTCTTAGATGCATTTCAAAATGCTAGTAATAAACCAAAATATGTTTTAGATTTTCTTACAAATACTACAGCAAAAATGAATAAAGGTGATGAAAGATTAGTAATAAAGGTGAGAGATGGAAGGAGATCCATTGTTCTCTTTACTTTTGTACATAGTGGTTAGAGATTTTCATGTGAATACTTTGATAGTGCTTAAATGTTTTCCATTACGAGTCTTAATTTGAGCCGGGCAGTTGTGGCGCACGCCTTTAATCCCAGCACTTGAGAGGCAGATTGAGATTCAGGAGTTCGAGGCCAGCCTGATCTACAAGAGTGAGTTCCAGGACAGGCTCCAAAGCCACATTAGTTATTTGTAACATTTTTGGCACAATTTATTATCATTTTTTTAAATTCTTTGACATAAATCTCTTTATACTGCCCCACTCTCGTTCCCTATAACTACATAAAACTAGAAAGGCTTCTTTTTTTCCAAAAAACTGTGAGGCACCTGGTAACCCCACCCCTCCAGAGAACTTCCAGGAAGCAGCTTGGATGCCCTTCCCACGTCCTGCATCAGCCCACTCTCCTCTGTGTGGGGACCAAGGTTTCCTACCTGACTGGAAAGTGATCTCGCTGAACATCATCCATGTGTCGGCAAAGTGGTACTGGCATTTGATGGCACTAGCCATTCGGTGGTGGAGAGGCACCGTGACAAACCGAGCACTGGGGTTCACATCATCCAGGACGAGGGGAAAGGAGACGGCCGTGGGCTCCCACTCACTGGCTTCCGAGCGGAAGTAACACTGGACCTCCTTAAAGATCTTCACACCTTTAGCAAACATGTTGTTGCAATGGACCTGGCCGAGAGAGGAGCATGTGAGACACAGGCTAGCCCTGCTGGGTAGCACAGGAAAACAGCCTAACTTGCCCAGGAAACACCTAGACCTGCCTATGTCCCTGAATACTACCCATAATTCAGTCTTCTGGACAGTGGCGATGATACGCAGGTCAGTTCCGTCCTTATGAAACCTAGGATGACGTCAGCAGAGTCGCGCAGCAGAATCATACTGGGCCCCTAAAACCTAAGATGCTGTACCCATTTCCAGTTTGCAATTCTGTGCCAGGCTGCAGTGTCCCCAGCTGCTAGGGGAGGACTAGACCAGCATCGTCCCAAGTCTGTCCTCCACAGGAATTCTCCTGGCTCTGCCACCTTCTCGATCATACTTGCTCCGCCCACATTTGAGCTATTCTGATCTGAGATGGTGACCCAGCGTGGCACCCCTTCTTCCTCCCCGGTACCTTCCAAAGCCAGACCTTTTCTTTTCAGGGAGGGTATGTGGGAAACTTGAGAGAAAGTCATATGCAAACAAGTAAAATCTTTCTTTACGGAAATCTAACTTCCCATACATGGATTGACACTTTCAGTCAGAGACACAGACGTAAGCAAATTCAGTTTAAGTGAAACCATTCAGATGGGAGAATCAAGTCTTTCTCACGGATGGTTTCTGAGATGAGACAAAAAGTCAATTAGAAGGTAGCTGCCATCCACTCTCCTGACCCATGACCCTTTCAGTGGGATCTTTGTTAGGCCTGTGACGTCATCAAGAGCAAACACTCCACAGCAGTCCAACAACCCACAAAAGATGTAATGTGTATGTTTGCAACTGACTCGGGTTCCTACAGCAGCTCAGTTCCATCTCCTCTGGCTCGGTCTCATGTGGGAAAACAGATCTTTGCTGCCACTGTCCCTCAGGAGCTTCTCGGGTTGGAAAGGCCTGACTGCCGTTCATGGACCTTATTTCCTGTTTCTGTTTTAATGGCTGCTTAGGCCCTGAGTGATGATAGTCAGTGGAGCACTACCAGGATGAATTCACTTTTAAAATAAAGAAGGAAATGATGTAAGAACAAATGTTCTAAGGGTTGATCACGAGAGCTACTAGAGGGCACAAAAACCTTCTGCCCAAGTATGTGTGCTGACGAGATACACATACTCACGTGCTTTCCTGACCTGTGGTCAACCCACAACACAGCTGGTATGGATCCCTGGACATCTATCCCATACCGCAGAGAAATAGAGAAGACTCCCTAACTTTGCCATTTGGATTTTTTCCTCCATGGGTTTTATTGATGAACACATGGGTTAATATCTTCCTTGAGTGAAATAAACATCCTAGTCTATTGGCCCCCAAGTCAATGGAGTAAGGCTAAGGGCAAAAAAAAAAAAAAAAAAAAAAAAAAAATAAAAAAACTGACTTCTCCAGCTTCAATAGGTTTTTCCTGTGTCTGGCTGTCCAGTAGAGGAGGCCACGCAGCAACCAGAAGCTTCTAATAATCTTTTCTACAGATGTTTCAAGAATTCCTCTGGAATGCAAATAAATAGCGTAGGATTTCATTCCATGTGGGCTCACATATTTATTTATTNAAAAAAAAAAAAAAAAAAAAAAAAAAAAGAAATCAAAGAAATGCCTTCTCCAGCTTCAATAGGTTTTTCAGATGTTCTGAAATCTGCAAAGTGCTGGGTAAGTACCCTGCAGGGAAGGTAATAATCTTTTCTACAGATGTTTCAAGAATTCCTCTGGAATGCAAATAAATAGCGTAGGATTTCATTCCATGTGGGCTCACATATTTATTTATTAAAACAATATACTTTGGATGCATGAATAAGCTTGAACAGTATACTTTAACCATTCTTCAAAGCAGAACATGAAGAGAGTAATTTGCCTCAGAAAGAAACCTGATCTATAGAAAATATTAGTGCCCTGGAAGTCATCTTTTACCTTTTTTGCCAGAGGAATTAAAACATGTGTAGGATCTGGTTGCCTAAGAAGATGGCCCTGAAGCTACTCCTTAGGAATTTCTGGTTTCTTAATTTAAGCTCTGGAATCATTTTGATCGTGATAAACTGGCTGAAAAGAATCCTGGAGATTCAGAAAGATCACATTTTCCTGATGAAATATTATAGCCTCATGGATAATTTAAAATTCATTTAATTATTTGTTAAATCAAATTCTCCCTGTGAGTTTATGTGTATGTTCACAGGTACATTAAGGACAAATACAAAAAAATACTTCTCTTACAGCATATTTTTGTTGTTGCTGTTCTTTTGCCTCTCTCTACAAAAATCTCTGAAGAGCAATGTGTTGCATGTAATTGCAAACACTTATGTTTTACGATGGCTAAAGATCCTCCAACAACTAGTCAACAGAGTGGGCGTATGTTGTTCCTTCTATCCTGATCTTAAATGGTCATTTAATGAATAACTGTTAACCCACTTAAGAGATATTATCCATTAGTATCTGGATGTAATATAGAAGGCATGCATTTTTTAAACTTAGTTTATGTAAGGAATGACAACTTTGTATTAACTGATGATACATATTTCCTTCTTCTTGGTCCCATATGACCCTGCATACATTCTTTTGCAAATTAATATGCCTTTCCTACTGACCTTGGGACCAATGTGGCCCAAGATAGGAAATATTCTTCACTTAGAATCTAGCATATTATTCCCCAAATATAGCTGTGAAACCAATAACAAATACAGATGAACAGATGAAATTTAATTACATAATATATAATATAATTAATATATTTTCCACTTAACTCAAGAAGCACATACAGACTGAAGACTGGATACTGAGAAAGAGTTACCAAATTTGCGGATTATTAATACTTGGCACATGAATATCAACATGGAGAAAGATCAGATACATGAATATTCATGTGGTAGGCCAAATTGGATTCGCCCACCCTTTCCTGAGGCTTTTAGTGAGGTTCCCTTTTGTGCTTTCATAGATGATAAAGAGTTACGCATAAACCATATAAGACCCTGCAACCTCACCTTACACTAAACACAAGGGCTTTCCTCAACACCCCTTGGATTTAGAGCGAATCTAGTTGCCTTTTTGCATTTTTTTTCCTGTGCCCTTCTCTCTAAAGCAGACCTGGGATGGAATGAGGGAAGGGGAAGATAAGGATTTAAACCACATACCAGGAAACACTTGATATTCACAAAGACATTATCAACGGCAGCAACAAGCTTTGGCTTCATGGTGGGGTCTTATTTCAGAGAAAATAAAATCTAGGCCTTACGTTTCCTTCTGCGGATCTCTTCATGTATTCATATTTGCCATGGTCCATTACATGGCGGCCCCTGGGGCAGCCTTTGCCAAGCCTTTGGCTTCCACCCAACCACTCAGCAATAGTCAGTCACCAATATCCACTGAACTGTTGTTGTAATGCCCTGATGAAATAACTGCTTCTATGCCTAATTGAACAACAATATTGGCTCTGGCACTAGGAAGGGAGGAAGGGAAAGAGGTAGTAAATCAATAATAACGGGCCTAACCTAGCCTATCCCAGAATGAACAAATGAAGAAGCGACCTTAAAAATAACGTGAGTCGGTTACTCCGGCCAGGTGGGTGAAATACACCACAGGCTATCCGGGGTCCTCACAGTCCTAGCTGGCTGAAACATTCATAGCCCGCACCCCCACCACCTTCCCCACCACCCCCTCAACACCCCACCTCCGCCCCACCCCTAGTACCACAGGGGATAGGGCGGGTAGGTGCCATTATGATGAGCAAACATAAGGTGGAGAAATAGAAAGGAAAGCAGAATGGTCCATGTGCTGTGGAAAGAGGCTGAGACGAAAAGGGAACGTGTTGAGTGAGGAGCAGGCTACTGTGAGCAGCCTGCTTGCCAATGAGGGCCAGGGTAACATTGGCCCTGGGCTGCTGCGTCTGTGGTCCTACCGCAACTGGGGTCTGTGTTGACGTCCATGGTGTGTGTTACCACAGGGGACCATAGGAACCATTCATGCTGAAATCCAAGGGCCATACTGAGCTGGCCCTGTCGCTCACTGGACATTGCAGCAGGAGAGTTGGTCCCACCCTTCATGGGAGAGCTGCCCCCGCATTCCCACACTCAGGAGAGATGGCCTCACCCCTCACCATGGGCATGGGAGAGCTGGCTTTGCCCCTGAGGCGGTTGTCCCAGCAGCCCAGACTGACCAGCTCAGCTACCAGCCAGGACCACATCCTGGGCCTTGGGTTGGCCCATTTTAACTAACATTTACCCTGTCTCTGACCTAATGGAGCCTGTGAAGGGACTGGTTCTGCGGAAGAGTAGCTGTAGGATCTCCATGACCAGGGCAACAGCAGGATGTCCGAGAGGAGTTTCAGTGAGGGTCCAGTGGTGATGGTACGTCAGAGGCCTTGAACCAGACCAATGACTCATCACTATGAACATCCTGGGTGGGGCTGACTGGACAAAAGGGTATGCTGTGTGATTCGCCACAGCTCCCAATACCACTGGGATGGGTAAAGAGGTGTTGAAGAGGCAGGAAGGATAGAGGAACGCAGAGGGATTTTGCTTGTTTCATTTAGTTTTTAATTAATTTGGGGGTTTCTCTTGGAGGATACTGTAGGTGTGGAGTCAGACACGGAGGGACTAGTAGGTGAGCAGATTTGGAACGCATGCTGTGATATTTCCAAAGAATTTTGTTATGAAAAATAATGTGATTTTGAATTTACGTATACTTGTAATAGTGGAATATATTCTAAAATCTAGTTCTGTTGATATCAGTTCAAGGTTCATCAAAAATCCCTTCCTCCCTGCCACCCCACACACCCACTAAAATTTTGAATTTCCTTAGGAAAATCTGTGACACCTAACTCCACTGACCTTCATAGTAGTAAAGTTCCTGATTCGGTCAAATTCAAACATGATCTCGATGTAGCCATTGGTAGCACTCTCATTCCGCCAACCCACGTAGTCATAGCCAGGCCACACGTGGTATTCGTGGGTCTGGGTAAAGTCATCCAGGCCGGATACCCCATCGGTCAACTGACCTAGTCCTTCAGTCATGCTGCTCCGGACAACGGAAGAGGGGAGAAGAGGGGAGCCCAGAGTTACTCACACACCCACAGAAGAACTCTTCACCCCACTACTTCACCACCGGATTTTACAAGAAACGAGAGATAATGTTAGAGATGCAAGGATTTGGAGAAAGCAATCATTTTATACTTGTGACTTCTTTTTCTGAATTGTGTAGTCCATGATACTTTGATAATTGTTAATCATTATATCAAGACATCATCTTCGGCTGATAAGCGTAGGCAAGAACATGATGCATAACAGAAGTTTTTTTTATATAAACTAATAAGCCAGCTCTTAAAAGGTTTGCTGTCCATGTAGCAAACATTGGCTATTTTATAACATTTGCTTATGTGGAATTTGACCTCCCCACTGATTCAAGGGAATAGATCATTAGGACAATATTAATTCGATTGGATACTTATAATCCCCCAAATGACTATTTCTTTCTTTTCTTGTTTCTAAGATTGTCATTATGGCCTTGGCTATTCATTTTACCTGGTGGAATCTGGGATTTAAAAATCTACCTCACTCCTTTCTCATTAGACTCAAATCTAATCTTTGCCACCTGCCTGATGGATCTACCTAAAGCACAACTCCAATCACGTCCTTCTCCAACTTTAGGACTCTTCAATGAATCATTGTATTGATGACGCTAAGAAGAAAAAAAAACCCTCTTCCTATCCATCCTCCCTCTTCTTGATCTCCTTCTTACTAGTCCTGGTCCTGGCATTCAAGTTCCCACCACCACCAAGAACATTGCCACGCTGCATCTTCTCCTGCCGATGAACTGTGAACTAAAATAAAGCCTTCCTCCCCAAGGTGTTTATCGTCTGGTATTTGGACACAGCAGTGAAAAAAGTAACTAATACATAGAGTAATCAATCTTCTTATGTAGCCGCTGTCCCAAACTGTGAATGCCCCAAAAGCAAGACCCATTTCCATTTTCTTTGAATACCTACAACACCTAGGCAACTTCTTCACACATCATAAGAACTGACTAGCAAAGATGGGTTGGATTGGATTCAACTGATATCTCATTTCCCGTGTGCCTTGACTCTACGTTAGTTAGGGTGTGGCTGATGATGTCAAGATGCTGCAAGAGGGTGGAGCAGAAGTGAATGACTAAGTAGATGAATTTAAGTAGGAACAGACAACTGCATTAATCAGGACTTCCCCAGGGACTATCACCTGAGGGTGATAGTTCATTCTCCACACCTAAGCTAGTAGAATGGCTGTAATTTTACAATATGCTTCCTGAGATGCACTAACATTTCTTTCTCATGCCCTAGAAACTTCTATTGTCTGCTCTGAACTTCACAATAGTCTGGCCTCTCTTCCAGGCTCAGTCCTTGCTGATAAAGACTGAACTAAGAAAGAACGGTGTTAGGAATGGGCCAGAAGAATATAATGAGAGATTAGAATGGATAGGCACGTGTCTTACCCAGCTCTAAACCCCCAAGTGTCTAGTGATATTTTTCTGCCCCAGCTCTCCATCCATCCACTTCAGGCTTCTCTGCTGCTCCCAGCTCCATCTCTTGCCATAACCAGACCAATATCATCCTCTACTGTTTCCTCTGCACCCTTCTACCTACCTTTCCATGCCTCCATTACCAGCTCATCCTGAAAGCCTTTCTTATGTATTGTAAACTTGAATAGAATAGATTTTCTTCTCACAGCTTCTAAAGTATTGTATCTATGGAGTCCATTGTTTCTTAACTCTGTGACTTATTACTTTATCTCTAACTAAATCAGCTTTTATTTGGAACATACATCCTTATTTCTGGGTTAAAAAATATCACTTCCACATTTATAGCCATATCACAAAGTTTAGCTCTTGCTTTGTGTAATTTCTTCCTGTCTACTTTATTATTATTATTATTATTATTATTATGCTTTGCAAAAGCAAACTACAAATTGGAGATGCAAGTACCTCGCAGCTTGCCCCATCTCAACTGTCTCACAGTGCATCACTCATGGACATAATACTGGTGGGTTCACTGATTCGTTGATTACTGACTATATCACAATAAATTTTTGTTATGGCCATTTTCCTTATTCGTGTGACTGTTTCAGTCTTCTGGACCTTACCTGTAGCCAACAGCTCCATCATAGACAGAATCATTCAGATAAATGATGGAGCCTCCAGGGAGTACAAACTGCTGCCCAGCTGGAGCATTGTAAGACACCAAACCATCTGTCAAAGGAAATGCAGTTATCAGTGTCTCTGGTAAGGAGATGTGCCTGCCGCTTGATCAGGTGCCCCAAGAAGCTACCTGAGCTTCCAGGGGTGCACAATCTTATGTAGCATGTCCACTGGGGCTCAGTTTGGGCTCATAGTTGAGCACTGTTAGAAGCCCACCTCAGTGGCAGTTACCTGAGTAATTCCAAATGTGTCATTCCAGGCACCAGGGCACCAAACCCTGGCTGGATGTACATGCCTTATTTTTCTCTCTTAACCAAGGGGGAATCATTTCATTTCAAGGGTGAATGACTCCATCCCTTTCTGAGTTGATGGCTGGTCTTCAGTTCCCAGGCCTTAGGAGTTTCCATATGGGGCATACGATCTCTTCAGTAGATTCTTACCTAGCCAGACACAACCATAAAGCTCAACCCTCATGCACACATTCATGGAGTGGTCGGTGACTGGGATAAGGCGGACAAATCTGGCGACAATGGGCGGCTCCAAGTCCTTCAGGAAAACATCGTAAGGGTTACTGTTCCCGTCTAGCACCTAGGAGAGAGAGGAAATAGCAGAGGTGGCTTAAACCCACGCTCGTCTTTCTTTACCCATCATGCATTTGATGGAGCCTTCACTTTCCACTCACAGAAAGTATATTTGCTTAACTCTCTCAGTGGAGCGAATAGACCCTTTGTGCCATCTCCTGCACTTTGGTCACATTTACAATGGCATGCCAGGTTTCAACATACACATAACTGAGCACATAGTCCATTTGAGCGGTTCTATTATAACTAAACATATGTTCCCTCAGAACGTGGGCATGTTCTTCTTACCTGCTCCCCATGTCGGTTGCGCCAGGAGATCCAGCGAGTGCCATCTCGACTGTAGTTGATCTTGTACATGGGCGCAAACTCGATGCCATGACCTCCTGCGTGGCGCCCCTGGGTCCCCACAAGAGTGATAAAGTGCAGGGTACGTAAGTCAATCTGCAGAAATTCTTTCAGGTCATCAGGTTGCACGGGGATCTCAGGGCACCAGGCTCCGTCTCCTTCTTCAGAGTCAAGCCTTGAGCAGGAAGGGTAAGGCAAACAGAACAGCTGTGGAATAAGCGTCACTCACCAGCTCATAGCGAGCGGCTGTCCTGTGCCCGAGGAGTGAGCGGGAAGCGGCAGTCTAGTCCAGCAGGACTTTGAGGACCTCCCCATGTGTCTCTCTATCCTAACCATTCCCATTTGTGGTCAGTTTCCTGTCTCCGAAGCACCATTCAACCCAGGGATTGTCACCACAAGGGAGCTGGGGGCTTCCAAAACACATGTAACCTTTAGAGTTTAGAGAACTCTTGGGAAATGAAACTCTTGCCACCCCTGTTCCCTTATGGAGTTCTTTCACCATCCCCCTTCCAATTCTCCGCCTCAACCTCACAAAGCTGGCCGTTCGTGGTCTGGGTATCAAGTTAAGGGAGTGAGGAGGGAGGAACGGGAGGGTCTCCAGTGTGGGCTATGCAACGCAGTGGAATGCTGGGCAGCAGAATGGGCCTGACCACCCAGCAAAAGCCATGGGGACCGTGTGAAGGTGAGCGTGAGGGCAGAAAGCATGCGAATGGAGTGGCCAATAACCTGCTTTCGTTTATTACCGCCAGGCTGGGCTAGCACTGAACACGGTTGTGAAATCACTATCAGGTTTATTTGGAAACCTCTTAGCATTTTTCCTCTTCCTGGGAGGGCTTCCTGTCCTCACAGATGCTACCCACTCATTCTTGCTTCTCCCTAACTCCTCCAGCCATCACCCCAGTCACTCAGATATTAAGATAAATTCGATGGGGAAGACCTACGAAGATTGATTCCATTTTAACAAAATCGGTACGAAATTGACACCAAAATAATTATCAGGAAGAGTAGGCATTGGCCAGCAGAATTGTTTCTGAGTTGGGAGTCTGTTCATTTAGGGAACTTTGGGAAATACATACACCACACAGAATATGCTCTGTTTATGGATGAGGATGGCCCTTCTGTGTGAGGTTTCCTTGAGGGAGAAAAGAACTTACTGGAAACCTCAGTGTCTGGTTTAACCGTAAAAGTCCTGTACAGTCACATTCCAGGTGCCCCTTGAGAAGCCGGCTCCCTCACGGCCAGTGTCCTACATACTCCACATCTCCCGGGACCTTCAGCCTTGGCCTTTCTCCCACAGCAGCCCGCAGTGAGGTCAGGAAAAGCAAATCCACTGCCTATCAATGACCCCATTCATAGTGGGTGGCGGGGCTCTGAGGCTGCTGTGGTTAGGAAGAGGCTTCCAGGCCAGCAACTAAGCCAAGGCCTGGCCTCCCTGTGAAACGCTCCAAGCAGCACAAGCCCCTCACGTCTCTCTTCCGATCTCACGAGTGCTCACTAGCACCATCCCTCAAGCCATGGCTGTGTGTCCATTTCCCCCAGCATTCAGGCTCTGATGGAGCCATCCTCACCTCCCATATCTGGCAGCCGTGGATTCTGACCACTGACTTGAAGCTGTGATGTCCTCGTCTGGAATGTGGCCTCCTGACATGCCCAGAGGATAGCGACATGAAGCTGGACAAAAGAAACAAAGAGAACACAGAGAATATGCTTCCATTTTTATGCCAGAGCCCCCAGGAAGGCTGAAACTAGTAACAGGGTAGGAAGTAGACGCACTGAAATCTTTCTCCATCTCTCTGATACTCTGTGCTACAGAACTTCTTCCTGACCTGATTCAAATACTTTTATACCTCCAAAATCTAACCAACAGCCAGGCTTATATTTTGGCTCAGACTCTGGCAACTAATATGATATAATTTAATATGAATGTTCTTATTTTATTGAGTAATAACTCCAGTAGCCCATCTTTAGTTCCTTAATAGCAGCTTTGCATATTGAATCAATTTCCTACAAGTACTAGATTCTTTGTAGCCATCAGATACCCCTAAGATCCACAGCACTCTGGCTTTCTGGGGCACCGACTGTATGAGATTATGAAACAAACCCATGAACTGCCCCCATGTTTGTACTGAGTAGTCTGGGCCCTGACTTAAAACAATAGTTTTAGGGGTGGGCTTCACTTTCAACAAAGAGAATAAAATGAAACATATGCAATTCCCTGTGGAAAATAACACAGCTTTCACACAATGAGGACCAGACGAAAGGATCACCATATCTGAGTGTTGGTAAGCAAGGAAGGGCCCAACAGATGAGCTGGCTACTGCCCTGGCAGCGCCCACTTACAGCAGGGGGTGAGAACGCACCGTGGGAACTTCCTGACTTAGAAAGATGAAGCAAGTAATATTTGAATACTTTGAAGTCACAATAGAAAACGATGAGGCATATAAAGCAGGGGAAAGGAACCATCATGAGGAGGGAAGAGAAAGAACTGATTTTCAACAGTATTTTTCCCAAAATATTTTTTTTAATCATAAGATTCATACGAAACCACAAATGGCCTTGTAAAAACTAGAGCATTCTTACAAAAGAACAGACCTGGACATGTTAGAAATAGAGATTTCAAAACATATCCCAAAGCTATAATAATTAAAATAGCCTGGTGAATATGTATAAGTAATCTCACACATATAAGGTCAACTGGTCTTCAACACAGGTACCAAAAAATTGTATGGGGGAGGGGGAGAACAGCAAACCAATGTGTTGGGAAATTTGTACATCCACATGCCCAAGAGTGAAATTGGCCCTTATACTATATGTAAAAAACCACACACACGGGGGTTTGTTAGACTGGCTTACAGGATCAAAGGCAGAACAGTTCCTCAATGACCATCTGCGACAGCAGAGGAAAGGGAACTAGCGGCTGCCTAGTGTAAGTCTCAGGACATTAAAGCCTTGGAAGAAGAGTCTAGAGGTGCAGCTCCCATCAGAGGCTGAAGGCCTGGAAGCCTCTTGCATCCAAAGCCTGAATAACCTGATGTCTGCTCTCAACAACTGACAACAAAAAAGGACAGCTGCCCAAGACAGGCAAAGTCAAATGAGAGCAAGAGCTAGTTCCACCTTTGCTTTATCTGTTCCATTTGGCCCTCTGCCTGTTGCAAGATGTGACCTACATTTGAAGATCTTAGATTTTAACTCTAGCATATCTGAAGCTCAATCCAAGAACTGCATGTTGATAGAGATCCAGAGTTGGTCTTCTGTGGGATTGGGCTCAGAGCTCTGCTCCCAGAACCCATCCCTCCTGGATAGAGAACAATGCTAGGGGCCCTGCTGGCAGCCACAGAATAGAGCATCCCCACTCAGTAAGCACTCAGTCCCATCCATCATACATCTCCAGATGCTGAGCTGTACTCATCATGAGAATCTGTGCTCTGGGACGTGTGAGGTAAGCCAGACATTGGGAAAGAAGAGCCAACAAGGTGAGTCATGAAAATGTCATAAATAACTTCCCACCACGGGGAATGCTGGTCCTTGGGACAATAACCAAGACATTTTATGTTGCCACTGCCTCTACAACATGTCTCAGTAGGACTGTATTTCCTGGAAATCCTTTTTATGTCATATCCTAATTGACTCCATGCAGGAATTTTTCCCTATTGAACGGATAAAGAAAATGAAGTAACAGAGATCTGAAGTATGTCTGAGAGGCAGATGGGGGAACATTGAGAAAGACCACATAGGATTCTCGGCTGTGAGTCATCAGAGGACCGCTGAGTCCTTCCCAGAGGCTTACAGACAAAATCCTGGGGATTCAGCCAAGGGAAACCTTGAGTCACAATGTGCACACTGACAGCAAATAGAACAGGCTTCCCTATAAGTCTGACCATCGCTTACCTTACGGCAATCTATCTGTTCGTGTGTTGAGTTAACGAGTGTCCTTGTATCTAGATAGCTGCTCAGTAGTGGATAAGACATAGGAAAGGGTTTCTCTCATAGAGCTCCCTTCTGGTCCAGGGGACAAAGGGAAGATGAAAGAGTTCAGAAATCAAATGGATACAAGTTGCTTGCCTACTTGACAGTGGCTATTACCGTCTCTGACTCTGACGGAGCTATCAAAAATACTAAAATTTGGTGTTGGGATAAACCCAACAGAGATTCTTTTAAGAAATAACTTTCACGGCGGCCGGAACCGGACGCGCAAGGCAGCGGCGGCCAGAACCGGACGCGCACGGCGGGCGACTTAGCTGGCGCAGCGGCCGGGACCGGCGGGTACTGACACAGTGGCAGACAACGCAGGCAGGCGACAGGGACCAGTGCAACACCAAGAGCAGATCGCCCCAGGACAATTAAATCAAAGAGGTAGGCCTTTGGTTGGCGAGGTCCCTGGCAAACAGGGAACCTGGTTCTTTTCCTGAAGACCCGTCTGAGGGGTGAGAGGGATCTTGGCCCCTGGCAGGAGCCAGGAAACAGAACGAGGGAATTTTGCAAGAGGAGCTTCTGGCCAGCAGGGAAACCTGATCTGGTTTTAAAAGACCAATTAGAGATCGTCAATAGGAGGAGATGGGCAGGCGCCAAGGCAAAAATTCTCCCAATAAGCTGAAAAACAACATGAAAGCACCAGAACCCAATGATCTTACAACAGAAGGACTTGAACACCCTAACACAGAAGAAGTGGAAAAAATCGACTTTATGAAAGCAATAGAGTCCCTTAAACAATATGTAAAAAACACCTTTATAGAAATGGATGAGAAGTATAACAAAAAGTTTGAAGAATTGAGTAAATACGTACATGAGACCCTGGGAAACCAAGAAAAAATGAACAAACAGGTAATGGAAACAGTTCAAGAATTGAAAACTGAAATGGAAGCAAGGAAGAAAGCACAAACTGGGGACCAGCTGGATACGGAAAATCTAGGTCAACGAGCAGAGCCTACAGAAACAAGCATAATCAATAGAATACAAGAAATAGAAGAAAGAATCTCAGATTCTGAAGACACCATAGAGAAAATAAACGCACTGATCAAAGAAAACAGCAAAGCCAACAAATTCTCATCACAAAACATTCAGGAAATATGGGACACAATAAAAAGACCAAACCTGAGAATAATAGGAATAGAAGAAGGGGAAGAATTACAGCTAAAAGGCCCAGAAAATATATTTAACAAAATCATGGAAGAAAACTTTCCCAACATAAAGAAAGATATTCCTTTGAATATCCAAGAAGCATACAGAACACCAAACAGACTGGATCAAAGAAAAGCATCCCCTCGCCATATAATAATCAAAACACAAAATATACAGGTTAAAGAAAGAATATTAAGAGCTGCAAAGGAAAAAGGCCAAGTAACTTATAAAGGTAAACCGATCAGACTTACACCTGACTTCTCTATGGAAACCATGAAAGCCAGAAGGTCCTGGATAGAGGTTCTTCAAAAACTAAGAGACCATGGATGCAAACCCAAACTTCTATACCCAGCCAAGCTAGTATTCACTATCAATGGAGAAAACAAGACATTCCAGGATAAGAACAAATTTAAACAATACGTAGCCACAAATCCAGCGCTACAGAAAGTAATAGAAGGAAAATCGCAACCCAAGGAATCCAACATTGCCAACACTGACTACAATAACTCAGGAATCTAGCGAACCTTCACCAGTACAACTCAAAGAAGGGACACACACAAACTCTACTACCGAAAACAGTAAGAATAACCGGAGTAAACAACCACTGGTCACTAATATCACTTAATATTAATGGTCTCAATTCACCTATAAAAAGGCACAGGCTAAGGGATTGGATACGAAAACAGGATCCAACATTCTGCTGTTTGCAAGAAACACATCTCAACCACAAAGACAGGCATCTACTCAGAGTAAAAGGTTGGGAAAAGGTCTTTCAAGCAAATGGTCCTAACAAAAAAGCAGGTGTGGCCATACTAATTTCCAACAAAACTGACTTCAAACTAAAATCAATCAGAAGAGATCGAGATGGACACTTTATACTCATAACAGGAACAATTCATCAGGATGACATCTCAATCCTGAATATCTATGCCCCTAATATAAAAGCACCCACTTATGTAAAAGAAATATTTCTAAAACTCAAGGCAGACATAAAACCACACACACTAATAGTAGGAGACTTCAACACACCTCTCTCTCCAATGGACAGGTCAATCAGACAGAAACCTAATAGAGAATTAAGAGAATTATTGGAGGTAATGAAGCAAATGGACTTAACAGACATCTACAGAACACTCCACCCAAATAGGAAAGAATATACCTTCTTCTCTGCAGCTCATGGAACCTTCTCAAAAATTGACCATATACTCGGAAACAAAGGAAACCTCCACAGATACAAAAGAATATCAGTGTCCACCTGTGTCTTATCAGATCACCACGGATTAAAGTTAGATGGCAACAACTATGCTACCCCCAGAAAGCCGACAAACTCATGGAAACTGAACAGTCAACTACTGAACCACACCTGGGTCAAGGAAGAAATTAAGAAAGAAATTAAAGTCTTCCTTGAATTTAATGAAAATAAAGAGACAACATACTCAAACCTATGGGACACGATGAAAGCAGTGCTAAGAGGAAAGTTCATAGCACTAAGTGCCCACTTAAAGAAAACAGAGAAAGCATACATTGGGGACTTAATGGCACACCTGAAAGCT